GTGTAACAATTGCTTAATCGCCATCGACGCTATCGGCGCTTCTCGTCTTCCACGAAAAGACAACGCGCTCGCCTCCCGCCTCGCCGGCGTGCACCTTGCGTAATAATAACAACGAGCCGGTACGCGATTTATTTCCGCGTGAACGCACGTTTATTTGCGCAAGGGTGGATTTACGTAAAAATTATAATTAGACTTCGCGGAGACGATATATCGATGAATACAGACCTTTAACCGGCGCGGCGCGGCGCGGCGCGATGTGCACGGCAAATGCGAAAGACACAAAAGTCGCTGCCGCCATCGCCGCGCGCCGCTGCCTCGGCACCGCCTCGCGCCTGCGATACAACGATATCTGCTCGTTCACGCGAGACGGCTTCGATTAGGCTTTAATGAAGCGCCGGCCGCGCTTTCCGAAAATAGAACATTTCGAATTATCGCAACCCGTTTCTACGTTCTCTAGTCGAGAGCGTCAGTTCTCTTGTGAAATGTTTAAATGATTGAAGAAGAAGAAGTTAGAAACCTGGAGCGTATATCCACGAGGAAAAGCCGAGAGCGCGCGCCAGTCTTTTAAAGATGTAATTAAAGTCTTATCTCTAAACCGTTTTACGTCCGTATCTTTTTTTTTTCAACGCGGGTTACATACTGCAAAGTCCGCAGCTTTCCGTAGATAACGCGTGCAATTCTGTTTCTTGGAAGCAAACGCGCGGACTTTTAAGACGATTTGGGGCGCGTACTTACTGGGCGATCGCGCGCGTCGCGGTCTTTATCGGACGACCCGGTGGAACCACTGGGGATTACATTACGCGGTCACATTTGCATTTAGGCGCGCGTATATTTACGGCCGCGTCGCCCGCGCGCTCGGGGTTCGCAGAAGGATTACACACGCTCCGCGCGCGCTCCCTCGATTGTTGGCCGATGCCGTTTCGCGTGCGCGTTGCGCAAATGAACGCACGAACGTTCAATTTGTCGGCGAACTTTTTTGTCCGTGCGCGCTCGCGAGGAGAGGATTGCCGGTTGTAAATACGGTGCGTAACGTCGGACGTTTATGGTCGCCGATAGCTAGACGCCTAATTTACGACGGTCGAGGGGTTAAGCCGCGCTCCGCGGCGTGTAGCGCGATGAATTTAATATAATGGTTCGCGATTATGTGAGACGCCACACGGCGCGACTCTGCCGCGTCACGTGTTTGATTTCAGTCGCGTCGCATCGCGATCGTTTACATTTGCGTTGCGTCGCGTCGCGTCGCGTTGCGTTGCATTGCGTCGCGCCGTTGCGGTGCCGATGATGGTGATACTCACGCGAATATCGATATTTCCGCCTCACGCGGACGACACGCGCTACCGCATCGCGTATATACACACGCTCGCCGCTCCGCTCGAGTCACCTTTAAAAGCGACTTTTCTCTCGCAGATGTGCCGCGGGTACATATATTGATTATGTGCTATCAATGTACGCGGGGTGGATGCATCAGTGAATGACCGGTCACCGGTGCACGACCGCTGCGAATCTTTACGCTCTTACTTCTGGTCTCTTACTTACGGTCACGTGAGATAACGTGCGATTACGACGTCTCTTCCAGATGTGTAATACGATCGCCGTCCAGTTGTTATCTGCCGCTGCCGTGCCGGAGGACGCGGACGAAAAACTCGATGTCACGGGGGGAGAGCTAGGATAAACGATTTTTCTTTTTCTTTTTTTTTATTACGAACGAGCGGAAAGTGTGCGGAGATAAATCCTTTTTTTCTTCTTCTTTACGTGCTTTTCGCGTGAATGCCGTAGGAATTCCGCGTGCTTCTCGGAAATACGCGAATAAACGTACACGTATATATACGCACCGCGTTATTACGCGGCACGCCGCGAATACCGTATGAGGCGCTGCCTCTCCCCGCTGATTTTGCGGCGTCCTATTATTAAGCCCTACCTACGCATTCACGTGGCAGCAACCTAGAAAAGTGACACCCTTAAAAATGGATAACCTTTTTTTTTATCATACATCGTAGGCGGCGGTTTTTCCTAGCGACCATCGCGGGGTGTTTTTCTAAAGATAAACTTAGGCGCGCTCTTTTCAGTTTTCTCTCCCTGCCAGGCGTTCTCTCTTTTTGCGATATTCATCGGAGTGCACTGCCGGGAATCCGAAGCCGCACGACAGGCGAGCCGCGGACGGCGCGCCATTCGGTATTGCTAAATATCCCGTGTAACGATTTTCGAAAAATATTAACGCCCACATTGTAAATCTATCGTCATGTCCAGCGAGAGATTAACGTATTATTTGTATACGTTCACTCGTCATAAAACGCAAGTAGCATTGAATATATCTCTACAGGATGTTTTAAAAGTTCTGCGGAAAGCGACGCGTAAGTCTTTACATACGAAAAGGCTAGAGATGAATTTTTATCGAATTGAAGATAAATTTCAAAAATTTTGAAAGAAGCAGTGAATCTGTTTGAGTTATTTATTTATTGTAAAAAAAAATGAAAAACACGTTTCTGCGCACATACACACACGGCTCCGCCTCCGCTTTTGAATAATTTCCAAAAGTTTTGAGGGAAAAACAGAAAAATAATAAAACTTGTATATACTGTTTTGAAAAACAATGCAGATAGAACTGCCCCGACATACTGTTGCCGTCGCGTTGCGTACTTTCGCATCACCTTGTAGTCTTGACGCAGTCTTGACGCGAGTGCGTCAAGACGGCCTGGACGCGACGGCTTGACACTCGGATTTCGTTGCAGTTAACTTGGCTACCTCGCAATTTCGCCAGGAAAGTTTACGCCGTTCGGGCGAGCACAAGCTCGGATTTTCCCCGTTCATCAATCGATCGGCTTGACTCATCGCGCGGAATATAAGCGCGGCGCGGTGTGCATACCTATACGTACCCCGCTATACGTATAACACGCGAACGCGCGCGCCGCGCCGCGCCACATACACGGTCGGTTACGGGCGCGCGGGGGGGCGGGGGAGGGTCGCTACAGGGTGACGCAAAGTTTCGTTACTTTTACTCGAGGGGCTGAGTCACCGTGACGCGGTCTGATGAATTACCCCGAACGCATTCCCGACGAGCGTTTTACGGAGTTACCCGTTGCCGCGCTTATTATTTCGCTGAAACGGATTACCGCGATCTCCATTTGCGTTCGTATACGTTCCCGTATACGCCCCGCTTTATGCGACGTCGAGCAAAATATACGGATAATATATCGTTACGCGTATACGTCACGCGCAAACCTCGTTTTTTATTTCTCGTAAAAGTCGTATTTATTCTGTACTTGAGAGTTGATTCTGTAAAAGCACGTAATGATAAATATGTATAATTAAACGACGTTCCAACGTTGGACATTGAATGTAATACAGTTATTATAATCTCTTCAACTAGTCTAGTTTTTTTTTAAATACTCGGATTGAGATGGAGAACGCGAGGAGTACGTCTTTCCGTAACCCTGCACCAAGGTGAGATACTGAGATCAATTTTTTTTTATGGTTCGCCAGGCGACCGGCACGGTCGTACTACTTGTTTGCACCACTTTGTTAGGATCTGACGGGTGTCGAGCCGGTTAACTTAAACGTAACTGTACCTCGTGGTACCGTAGATCGTTCATAATGCCGACCAGCATTTCTGACAGTCAGCACTATAATTAGAGCACGTCGCGCACGCGGGTAAATGATGGCGAGAACGGTGAAGAGAGAGCGAGAGAGAGAGGGAGGAAGAGAGAGAGAGAGAATGAGATGCGTGCCGATAGGATAGATAGATTGAGGAAGGGCGGGAGAGCCCGAGAGGGTAGAATTGAAACCGCGCTGTGTTTCCCGAGACACTGCGGGATTGCGATCGATCGGTCGTTTTTGTACGCCCGGTATTATTCGGGCGGCAACTCTGACTATGAGTCACAGGCGCATTGTGCAATACTACGTATCTGAGCGCGATCAGATGGAATTACGGCGTGTGTTGATAGCGAACGCGAAAATGGGTATCGCACGCCGCCGTAATTTGGGGGGAACCTTGCGACATTGAATCATTAAGCCACGATTAATCCGAATTCCGCTGACTTGACGTCGAATTTGATTAATGTCGAAAATCGGCCGCGCTCCAATGGAAGCGCGATAAACGTTTCGGGCGAAGCGCTCATTCTTTGTGGGTCGTCTTGCGCGATATACCGGTCTTCATTTTTCGCGTATGAAAGCAATAATTTTCAATGTAGGACATGGTGGCGCGCGCATATCTCTCGCGCGTCGAGATTTACGATTTTCCGCGATAGGCTGAAGAGGCCTAAGAAGTTCTTAAAATAGAGAGTCCCGAAACGCACCGACAGGTTGTTTCGAAATGTAAAACGTTAATGTATCCGCATGATAAGAGCGGCTAATAGCCTAGACGCGAGCGTCGAGAATTCTCAGTTATACGTCGACTATAGGTAGGAGAGGATAAAAGACTGTTCTCCGAGATGGTTAACCGGTAAGTCCCGTGGAAATTGTTTGCTCCTCGCAAACGCCCGTCGCGAACAGGTCATATTTATTGAATAAAAAAATGTGGAAGCGCCGCTCCGAACGGTCCGTTCGCGCCCGTAGAAATATGATATCTGGCGACAGGCTCTTTGAGAATCACTGACCCAAACCGACGACGTGGACACACGTCGGCGAAGGAGACTTTAAAATATTCATGGTCGTTGGCCTTACTTTTTGTGTTCTCCGCGGTATTTCTTCCCGCCATGGCGACTCACACTTTTGTGCTTGAGGTGTCTTTCAAATGTCCGAGGGAATGGTGTCGCTACTCGAATATTTAACGCAATCGATGTCGTTTTAGTTTTTCGGGCGATACGAGAGAACATTTTGTAAAAACGTAAGCTTTTGTGTTGCTATTCTTTTAACAGTTAAATCTCTGTCTATAGGGGAAACCAATATCGGAGCAATAAGCGAAATGCAGTGTTACAGCGAAAATAAAAATTTTCGCGCCGTAAAGAAATTAAATGGAACCCGCCGCGTTCGGCGTTAACGAGGCCGTTACTTTCTGATTGCAGGGAATGTGTGACATGTTCATCCAAACACAGCAGACGAGTAGCGTCAACGGCAGCAGCAGCAGCAGCAGCAGCAGCAGCAGTAACAACACCGTTCACCACCCCAGTAAGAAGCGCAAGTTGGATTACAACGTGAGCCAGCCGGTGATCCAGCACGCATTGGTCCAATCGACCAGCGACTATAACCAATTGGACAATACCGGTCTGCAGCAACGGTACTCCGTGAACGGTGCTAATACCGCGTTTAGCTCGCTGCACAACAATAATGCGCTGCAGAAGAGTAGCCCGAACCAGCAGACCCTGGTACGAGCCTCGACGATCAAGCTCTTAGACACGTACCAACGCTGTGGCCAGAAGGTTGGTTTGATGCCGCTTTCTTACGTTTCTTTCGCCGTTCCTGTCGCCGCTTATAATTGTTCTACGGTCACCTCCTCCCTCCCCCTCTCTTCCTCGTATTCCTTCACGTGTCTACGCATCCAACACGCTAAATCTGGCTCGTTGACTTCTATACTCCTCTTGTGTCTAGTACAGATCTAAAGATCGTGTGTAACGTTGAATCGCGCAGGGGCTGAGGATCAAAATTAGAGAATTAAAATTAGAGATTCGCACTTCGAGTTTCATCGCCTTTTTCAGAAGTTCGACTTTTTAACGATGTTAACAATGTCTGACTAGTCTCCTTCTTCCTCTCCTCTCTCTTCTTTTTTTTCCTTTCAGCTTTTTTTTTTGTTTTTATCAATGTTTGTCCATATTTTCGCTAAACGCGCATTCTTGTATATTTTTTTTCTCCTAGTGCGGCGCGTAGTGTGCACAATGAGCAAACAATCCGCAATGTCTCAATGTCATTTGTTTGCGTGGTTTCGTGTTCCGCAGCAGCTTGTTGTCGTTTCGCCGTTGCTCCGTTACCCTCTTGGGCACCGACTGTTAGCCGGTGCGCTCGTATACGTGTTATTACAAGAACGGGAATAACTACGGTGACGCGTTCCGTCGTTAGTTTTCCGTAATTCTCCTTAATGGAGAGCGGACAGGGGACGGGAACTCACCTCCGCGGTCTCGCTATATACGTGTGTCGCGCCATCCTCTCTTTAGCGCTTCGACAAATAAAACTTAATGGCCGCTAACCGCTTATTGGCATACGTTATACGGCGCAGGCCGTGAGTTTAGGTCGTTCTAACTGAGATCGCGTTCGGCAAGTCGTGATACTTCTCCGCTTCGCAACTGATGCCTCTTGCCGCAAGCCGGGGCGAAAGGGAAAGGCATGAGATCTACGGGATTGTAGCGAGAAGATACTGTACCGTCCGTTCGCGTCTCGTTCGCGTGTCGTTCGACTCGCTCGTCCGCGTTGCATCTTACCGATCTCTCGGCCGCGTCTCTCCGACAGTCGCATCACGACGATCGTTCAATAGGATCGCTCTCCGCGTTTATAGCCGTTATACAATAGGATTAATCGGCGACTGGAGGCTAATCCCGAGACCTCGCAAGGCTCGACGTGAATCTGTTTTTTTTTTTTTCGTCTGGTGTGCGTGGCACGTCTAAGCTTAACGCTTAAGAATCACGCTAATGTCTCGTCTGACGCGACATCATTCTCGGTACGTCCTCTCGCGCTCCTATCTCTCCAACAAAGTTTCACGTCGCAGTCGTGACTCGATGTCGATTCGGTAATATCGCACGGTTCGCAGCTACGTATGTCGCGATGTTTTCGCTGATTCATTGTGCTCACGATACAAGTGTTTCTCGAAACGTTCTCACTCCGCCGTTCGCGATATACAAAACGTTTTGTAATGTTGCCATTGCGCCGTGCCGCGCCGCGCCGCGCCGCACCGCGCGGCGTTACGTCGCACGGCTCTCGCCGTCTCTCTGTTGCAACGCTGAGACTCGTGTTCGAGCTTTGGAGTCGAGGTTCTAGATCGACCGCGCATCCATTTAATTTGTCCATTTAAACGGCACACAATCCGATAGAAATCAGGGCCGAGAGTTGGGCATAAAATATAAATAGATATGAATAGTGTCAAACATTTAAAAATTGTGTTTTATTAAAAATAATTTTTTTTTTAAAGTTATTCAATTTTTTGTTTTTGTCCGATATATGAAAAAGACCAAAGTAATTACCGGATATACTCCAATCTGGTGTACTCCAAGAGATGTATTTGGGCCTGATCCGGCGCGAACTGAATCCAACATATACCGGACCAAATTTCTACCCGGGAAATAGCCAGCAATCGAATCTATTTGGCATGCACGTCGATATCCCGTGATGCTCCGAAACGATCGACAAAGTCCTCGAGTTGGTCCCCGTGCGCGCATTCTCATCGCGCATTTGATTTAGCGTTTGCAGCAAAACACCGCGTACGTCCGAGCGGTAACGAGCTTCTAATGACAGGGGAGGTATCACAATTTCCTTGACGCTTGTTAATTCTCCGATTCGCGACCGTACGGCGCAACGTCGTGGGAAAGTGACGTCTATTACCGGGAACTAACTTTATGAATACCACTACAAACGAGCCTCGATATATTCGCGGCGCTTTGTACATACATCTATACGTCATCCTCTCGCGTATACGAACCGCCGATCGATTCGAGAATCCTCGACCGAATCATATAGGCGACCGCCAACTCCGCGACGTCGCTTTTATTTATTAAAAGAGGAAAAAAATATTCGTCGTCGAAGACACGAGACTGGCTCTACCCGGAACGGAGAGCACGCATCCGCGCGTTCAGGCGCACCGGGGAGAGTTTGTTGCCATCCGGAAGCGGGTGTATCGGTATCGTTGACGGAGGCCCCGAGGAAGAGGCCTCAGCGCGAATAATCCGATTCCTCGAAGCCATAAAGATTCTTTCCTCCTTCTCGCTCGGTCGCCCTCCGCCTCTTCCTCCAGCCCGGAACGATCTTCGACCGGTCTCCCCTAACGATCGTGTGCCGCGTGCGCGTGCATCCGATCCGACGCGCCGCGGCGCACCGGCGGCGACGATAATTGCGGGGCCGCGGCGATTGTGTTTCGGTTGCCTATCGGTTGCGAAACGTCGCGGGGTGTCACGGACGCGCGCGTAGTCGGCGACGTAGATAACGTTCCCGTATGGCGTAGTTAACTATCGATTGCGCGCTCTTTCAAGGCTCCCATTACATATTTCATACCGGCCATCGCGCGCGGATATCGCGAACACGCACGTATCGTCCGCGTGACGTCCGCGAAATTCTGCCGGATTCGTGGAATCGCGGTCATGCGCGGCGTCACCGGGGATCGGCGGCACGCCGGGGGAACCGGGCGGACGGTCATTTCGCCGATGATCGAGAAAGAGGAGAAAGAGAGAGAGGGAGAGCGCGCGCGCGCGATCGTTTCCCTGGATCCTCCCGCGATTGACGAGCGGGCGTTTGATTCACGGCGCCCGTTGTTCACGTATAACGCACGAACGCGCGGGATGTATGCGATACATAGCGTTCGCTCCACAGGCACGCGTCCGTTAATTGATCTCCAACGGCGCGCGAATGCGAATCACGCAATCGGTGGCGATCGAAGCTCTCCTTCGCGTCGACGCCGACGCGGAAAATCTCCGGCTTCTGGGATCGTCCGTCACAGGTAGTTCGCACCTCTGCAGCGTTTTTTTTTTGTCCGGAGATGTACGAGTTGTTGTCGAGGGCCTGTGTATCGAGAGGCACGTTGCTCCACGGCGCGATTGCTCTCGTTTTATCATTCTTCCAACCACCCAACTTGATATGCCGCTCCTCCGTGCTCTACCATCTACGGCGACCTCTTAATGCCCAAATATTTTTGTAAAAGATATACTCCTCCTACAGAGAAAAACTTGGTCGAGGGAAGGTAATGGTGACGGCCTGGCAGTTCACTCCGCCAACGCGAATGTGGTCGGCAGTACTGTAGTGTCGCAGCACCATACCCAACAGCAACAGCAGCTGCAGCAACAACAGCAGCAACAGCACAGCAAGCAGGCAAGCATGACGGCGCATAGCAAGCAAGTGGCCAACGCGGCCAACGGCGGTGGCAGCAGCAATCCCCAGGGCGACGGGGACTATCATTTGGTGCAGCACGAAGTTCTCTACTCCATGACCAACCAGTATGAGGTCCTCGAATTTCTCGGCAGAGGTACTTTCGGGCAGGTAAGAAATACAAATTCTTTTTATATTTTAAATTGTATATTCCTCCCCCTATTAAAGCGGGCTAAATTGACAAATTGATTTCTTGCAGGTCGTAAAATGTTGGAAAAAAGGGACAAGCGACATAGTAGCCATCAAAATTCTAAAGAACCATCCATCGTATGCGCGCCAAGGTCAGATTGAGGTACGCACGCAATTATTAGAAAGAGACGCGCGATCTAATAATTCGTAAACTGGAAACTCGTCGACTGGATATTATATATTCTGTATTACATCGGGCAATTTATCATGGTTGAATGACGTATTTGCAGGTCTCCATCCTGTCTCGACTTAGTCAGGAAAATGCGGATGAGTTCAATTTCGTGCGCGCCTACGAGTGCTTCCAGCACAAGTCGCATACCTGCTTGGTATTCGAAATGCTGGAGCAAAACCTCTACGATTTCTTGAAGCAGAATAAATTTTCGCCCCTACCTCTCAAATACATCAGGCCCATTCTCCAACAAGTATTGACCGCGCTATTGAAACTGAAGGTACAATATCATTATAGTCGGTTGCTCTTATGTCATTCGGTCACTTGGATTGACATTGAGAATTAACGTGGCAAATGCCTTTATCTTCGCAGCAATTAGGATTGATACATGCCGATTTGAAACCGGAGAACATTATGCTGGTGGATCCGATGCGTCAGCCCTATCGAGTGAAAGTCATTGATTTCGGATCAGCCTCGCACGTGTCCAAAGCCGTCTGTAACACCTATCTTCAATCACGATACTACCGCGCGCCCGAGATCATACTGGGACTTCCGTATTGTGAAGCGATAGATATGTGGTCGCTCGGCTGTGTGGTTGCGGAGTTGTTTCTGGGATGGCCTTTATACCCGGGCAGTTCCGAGTACGATCAGATTCGATATATAAGTCAAACGCAGGGCCTACCGACGGAGCATATGCTGAACAACGCCAGCAAAACAACAAAATTCTTTTACCGGGACATGGACAGTACGTAAATTGATGCAGACACTAATGATACCGAGTAGCGGGGAGCTTTTTCTTACAAATTCCACGTGTATTTTCCAGGTACATATCCGTTTTGGCGATTAAAGACACCAGAAGAACACGAGGCAGAGACTGGTATCAAATCCAAGGAAGCGAGAAAATATATTTTTAATTGCCTTGACGATATCGGTCAGGTTAATGTACCGACTGATTTGGACGGCGGACAACTCTTGCCAGAGAAAGCGGACAGGCGGGAGTTTATTGATCTCTTGAAGAGAATGCTTACAATGGACCAGGTAGTAATATCTAATTGATGCTCTTAACTTTTCAAGAGCACACATCTGGCGGAGGGTATCACCCAAGTAACAATGTCACACTGACGTCAAATTGACATAAAATTCGATGAAACTTTCGTCAAGTTTTAGTCAAGATGACATTATCTCGATCTTATCGTCGAGTGTTACTTGGGCAAGGGCACCGTCAGTACAGATGTAAATTTGCACCATCGATCTTTGCCGATTTGTAACTCGATTTCGAATTAATCAATTTCAATCATTAGTCTTTTTTAAGAAAGGAAAAAATCTGGCGAGGGTATAAAAACCGATTCAAAATAATTAAAAGTGAAAAATTGATTTACGTTTAATGATGTTTCAGAAAAACAATTAAGAAAAAAAATCCATGGTCTAAATTTGCACCACAGGGCGGTCAAAGAATATTAATTAAGGGGAAAAAATAAGATTTTTTTTTCGTGTACTTGGAATTTTTCTCACAATTGTCCTTTGGATTAAAGGAGCGCCGTATTACACCCGGCGAGGCACTGAACCATGCGTTTGTTACTCTGGCGCATCTAGTCGACTACGCGCATTGTAACAACGTTAAAGCTTCCGTCCAAATGATGGAGGTTTGCAGGCGCGCGGGAGACTTCACTGCGAGTCCTGCACATCATCAGGCTCCGCCGGCGCCTCAGCCACCTCCACCAACGTCTTTAGTAGCCAATTTTGTACCGACTACTAATGGCAGTGCGGTGACTCTCACCTTCAACAACCAACTGTCTAATCAAGTGCAGCGATTAGTCAGAGAGCATCGCACCGCGCAAACAGGATATGACAATCTGGTAGGTTTATATAATTTTTTTTATCTATTTATATGTGTATATATTTATTATTTCCGAAACAGGATTACAGTATTATGTTTTACTCAAATCTTTTTTAACTTTATAATCAATCTCTTATGAAAGATGTATATGTGATGGTCGGGCTCGAACTCGAGATCTGCCGACTACGAGTCAATATCTTTTACACGGTGTCACTCCTCTTTTAATTTCTTTTAAAAACTATTGGTTCTTATATTTTTTATGTTTTCCAATTTCAGTACCAAATATATAGTAACAGTAGTCGACGGGCAACACAATATAGCGGTTCGTCCAGCGGATCCAACAGCGGACGAAGTGGCGTTCACGATTTTCCGCATCAACTGGTACCTGGCATATTGTGTCCACCACACGGCTATCAGACTATGCCAAGTCCTGCGAAGCACGTGGTTGTTGCTCAAGTAAGAATAATTATCATGTGTGAGCAATTACCGCTAATTAGTTTTTATTACCGGAATGAGTAGCCTTTAATAGCGGTTTGTTTCACAGCCCCCGCAAGCGCAACAAGCACCTCTGCAGATACAATCGTCCATTATATCGCAGCAAGCTGTGGCCGCGGCGGCTGTAGCTGCCCAGCAGCAATACGCTGCAGTTCCCGTGTCTATGGTCGAGACTGGTCGGCAAATGTTGCTTACCGTAAGTAAAACAATGTTCACCTCCGAATGACCGTAAAATGGTCTCGCGTGTTTTGATATACATTTATGATCATCATAGAATGCTGTACAGACATCTTGGCCCGGTGGAAGTCGTCAGATGGCAGCAATCGTACCATCTGCGTGGCAGCAGTTGCCACCACAACATATTCAACAACCGCTGCTCAGCGATACCGGGGATTGGGGAAGGCCTCTCATCGTCGACAGTTCTGCTATTCTACAGGTAGCACTTGTCAATAAACTGCTCGTAATATTCAAAGTAAAATTAAAATTTGTCAATATCTGCGTGTAGCTTTTCTTTCTCCTTTTGTGATACTTTACGTCGCTACATCGATATTTTCCACATTTATCGCTGCGTTCTCTAAAGCACTCTCCCTAACGTTTTACGCATCGTAAAGTTTGAAAATTCAGTTTTTAATTAATCTCCCTTGTTTTGGGGAAGGATCAGAGGCCGGTATTTCCTGTCACGGAAGTTTACAATGCTAGCGCACTCGTCGAGCATCCGTCGCAGAGCTGGGGCAAGCGCACCGTCACCAAACATCATCAGCATCATGTGACGGTACCTCAGCAGACTCAGCATAGACATGAACATAAGAAAGAGACGCAGCAACTGAGTCCAGTGAAGAAACGAGTCAAGGAGAGCACGCCGCCAAGTAGCATGCGACGACACTCGCCGAGCAGCCACTGGCAGGAGCAATCGGTGCAATCTCATCATCACAGTAGCAAACATAGTAGTAGTCATAACGTGGAGCATCAGCCAGTCGCATCCGTGCGACAGCAGACCATCACGATTGATGACACGCCTTCGCCAGCCGTTTCCGTTATCACGATTAGTGATAGTGAAGATGAGGCACCTGGAAAATGGTGAGTGTTATACCGAATGCCTACAGCCCCAGTATACATATTATAAATTAGTATATCAAAAATACGACATTTTATTGTAGTTTAGGATATTTTTATTTTCAATTTTTAGACTTTAGACTTTTAGTTTCAAGTAGAGATTGGAACTGATATAATTTCGTAGAATTCAGATTTGATTCTCATTTATTCGTATACATGTAAAATGTAATAACTGGTGTAAATTTTTTTTCGCGTATCTGTAGCATTTACGAAAACTTGTATTTGCCAATATTTAAATTTGCAAATCAATCTTCTCAATAGGCAAATTTTAGAAAACATTAAGAATATATATATTTAAAATGTTAGCAGACTTTTTTGGCAGATTATCTTTTTGTAAAAAATATTCAGTTAAGCACGCGTATTTATTAGTCAATAGTTGGTAGTAGAATCACGCATGGTATCATTGACAGCTGTGGAGACCGTCAGTGCAGCGCCTGTCAAAGTTTGGCAACTCGCCTGTCGGGCGACGGACGTCCTGTCCGTGAAGAAGTCATACGAAGGTATATTAATGTAATATGGCGGTGTTATGTGATTAATGATAATTAATTAAGTCTCGTCGAGAATATGCAGTTAACAGATTGATTCACAAAAGATAAGATTCATTTCCTACTTTTCATTTCGATACTTTGTTGCTAAGTCATTCAAAATCAATTTTTACCTAACGTACGCTTTGCTTCGGAAAAAATAACAGATTTATGACGGATTGTAGAGATTTTCACGAGTCATATTTATATTGTATCCTTGGCATAAACAAATATATTATAAAATTTGTTTTTTGAACGATTCAATTTACTTGGTTTTTATCACGGGATAGATACGGGCTGTTTAGGGATCCGGTTGCGGAGCTTGGTGTGAAACAACTGTAGACTAACACAAAGCTACGTCACTTAATAAATAATTCCGTTGCAAATCATCTTTAGCATGCGATATTTCATGGATGCAGCGTTAACTTGCCAATGGTTGAAACACGCGACGATAACCGCCTCGATGGCTCTGAATAAAAAAGTCCTTCTCCTTGAATTTGCAGCACTCAATCGACGCCGCGCGTTGTACAGCCGATGCAACACTCAACGCACGCGAACAGTCAGCAGCACGGGCATGTGACGCATAGCAGCTCGTCGTCACATCGAACGCAACGCAAGAATGTCATTAGCTGTGTCACTGTTGGCGACAGCGACGGCGAAGCCAGCCCAAGCCGCACGCATGCCCATTTATATCTGCCGCAACACTCGCAGCATCAGCAGACCACGCAGTTAATTAAACACGAGCCGCAACAACAACATCATATTAGCAGGTGAGCGTTCAATGATGACGTCGATGTCGGCGAGATATCTGCGAGAGGAATCTGTTAATAAATTAATTCATCAATAACTCTCAAAATCATATTCTCTTATTTTTAAGAGGATGCTGCAGTCGTATATAATACTGATCAAATATACAATTTGTATTTTTTGCTTTTTTTTTCATTTGTGCAGAATATAAAATCCTTCTCCAAAATGAGAGAAAATATGCAAATGGAGAGACACAAAATGATATGAAAAAGTTTTGCATTTACTGTTTCCTGTTACCACATAAATGATTCAGTGTATAATCAAAGTATAAATATCAATCCACATTTGAATAATGCATAAGAATATTTTAAGATCTTGAGTTTGTTATTTTGAAACTTACAAAAGAAATAAACTTACAAAGGAAAGTACGATTTGAATTGACGAGTGTGCATGCGACATTGCTGTAGTAATAAACATCACTACACACTACTATATCAATTATGCACGCACACATATCCATCGCATATAAATTGTTCTTAAAACAGCGACATTGTGGAGTTTCGTCCTTCCTTTCAGCATTTTTTTAATAGGTTAAATTAGATTATTTTTTTATTCTACTTAATAATTCCCGAATTAATTCCTAAAGTGTGTACAATTGCTAAACTTCTTAATTAACTTTTCCTGTATTTTTGTTGCAGTAGCTCGGGATATTCCTCTCAGTCACAAAAGAAGCGGCTGTTGGCGAAGGTGCAATCTGAATGTAACATGGTGAACGTTGCAACAAAGCCAGAGCCCGGTGTCGAGTACCTTGCTCCACATCCGTGTCACGCGCCAGCTTGCAAAGAGCCACCGACCTATCAGGTAGACTTAGATTTCTAATATCCCTCCTGTACCCCCTCGTCTAATTTCTTTATACATTTTTATTCACGATTTTCTTGGAATCGCTAAATCACAAAGAGCAGCAAGAGCAGTGATAGAGAAGGGGGAGGTAGGAAGAAGGGGGAAAAAGCCGTGTGTAACAATAGTTTTTTTTTCTTATTTTTTTTTATTTTCTTTGATAAATGTTTGTTTATAATATAAATTATAAGATAAATAGTTTTTTATTTGACGTCTATAATATCCATAACCCCTTATTGCAGTATGTGACTACGAGTAGTGCGCATCCTCACCTCCAAGAGCAGCATATCGTGTACACGACCGGCACGGACAAACGAGTGTCCTGGCCTGGGAAGCGAGCCGAGTACAAGCATGAATATGTTCAACCACCGGCTGCTCACTCGAGAGACCATCAGAAGTGGGTGGTGGCCAATCCTGTGCATCAATATAGGTGAGAATCCGTTCTTCCTCGGCATGATCATCCGCGTCTTTTAATTGAGGCATGTACCATAATTATGGGACGAACTCTAGAACGATTTTTGCGACGCGATACTACATAGTGCGGCGGAGCATGGTTCTCATCGAATAATCGGCGCTTGCTACGTGCATGCATGGGTTTTGTAGGCAGAGCCAGGTAGTAGGTACGGCAGCCCATCCGGGTCATACCCACAGTCATCACGGGCATCCGGCTCATCTGAGTCCCGGCGGCAGTGGCGGTGGTAGGAGTCCCGCCGGCGGGCCTGTGATAGGAAGTGCCCAGCACCTGGGACAGCCCCTCTACCAGGAATACGCTCACGTGCGCTCGAGAGCCCACGCGGTGCCGCCTCCTGTGTACGTTACTGCGGCACCATCGCAGGCTGCTACCGCTATCCAGCAGCAACAAGTGCCCACGTATCAGGGATTCACACCCGGGTGGGTAACTAGAGAACTATTTCATGCACGCATGTCTTACACCCATCTTTTACACCTTTGTTCTGGCGTTCAATTTACGTCATCTATGACCTCAAAGTAGTTACGATTGCGAGTTCTTTCTTTCATAAAACGTTACGTTTTGTGGCATGCGGTTAATAAGGAGCGCGAATTCGCAAGAAATCGATGTTTATTTCCTATACTTTTCGATTACTCGATTACATCATTCTGATATGCAGAATGTTAAAATGATTGTTAAAATTAAACCTCAATCATAAATGCTCGCGTGACACAAAGTTCACTTCATATATATTAATACAATTAAGTATTTTTAGCTTATTTATTTAAATTTACGATGAAAGAATATCCTTCGTTGTAAGTGAATTATATTTAAATAAATAAGCTAAAAATTCTCAATGTATTAATACTTAATGTATATATGAAACGAAATATCATTGAGAATTTTTTATTTGATAACAAACATCGAGATCCTGCTGGTAGAAAACTTGAAATGTAGAATTTTGTCAAAGTTTTTCATTTCCTGAGTTTACCCTGAGATATGCTATGTGTGAATTCAACAATGATGAATATCTATATTATAAGAAAAAAATTTATAATTTTCTTTTTTTAGAGCTTTATGGAGACTTTCTAATGTTTGTTATCCCGTTTTTTACAGCTCGTCTCCATTAACGTTATATGATTCTAGTCGAGCGTTGCCACCGCCAGCTCATCACAGCTCGGCCAGACCGTTACTGGCGAGTCACGCAGCACATCCGTTGCCTGCGCATATGCAGCCTACAGCCGTTTACGGATTGGCCCCGCTTTCGCCAGCCAAACACCAATACCAACCTTCCAGTTTATGGTTTACTGAATAAATTATTCCCGTCGAGCCGTGGATAAGAGTTGTGTACGAACAAATAACTAACGAGTAATTGTACGATTTTCTGGGAACTTACGAGCCGCTCGTGCCAATTCAGCGAACGTGTAATCGAATCAAATGGAACGATGAAAGTAAGGTGTCGTGCAGATTTTCCTCGTTTTCGTGCGCTTGGCTAATAAAGTGAGCGGGTAGGGAGCGTCCGAACCGCTGCGATTTTGCGAATATGATCAGTGGCACGAAATACACACAACACATACATTCACGATCGAACGAGTTTGCCGAAAAGAGCACAGAGAGCAGGGGTGCATTAAGGCAAACAAATTTTGACAATCCGTCCTATATGTAAGCAGCGACCACTCCCTTCCGACCGCTCTCGTAGGAAACGAGACACGAGATCACGGTCAGTGTAACTAGATCTCTTTGTATATGTTTGTTACGTCTCTTGTGTATCTGAAACAATTCCATCGTCTTACTGTGACGATTTCATAAGAAGGAAAGAAATCGAAGGAGAAAGACTCCTACTTTGACACGCGATTGTACGTGAACGGGGTACCGATCGTGTACCGAACTTTCCCCAGGACGGAAATGTGAAAAGTGAAAATTTTTATCATTGAAATTATTGGAGAAATTTTTCACGTTTCGCCCTATCAAACACATATATTATACGATTGGTATCCTGATTTCTCAAGTAGGCTACGTTCAGGGAGCGTGCTATCAGCGCTGTTGCATCACATTTTATTCTTATTTCTAACGAGCATAAAAATAGGATGAGCTCAATAATCCTGATAGCGCGCTCCCGAACGAAGTCTCTCATCTGGCACATTTCTTTTTCCTTTTTTTTTCTTAATTCAAAGAGACACATGTATCTCGATGTACGCGGCATGCTTTAAATTTCGTAAGTTTCCAGAGACACCGAAGTTTTATTACGGAAACGGTAGAGTTTATAAGGACATTGTACAGACCAAAATTTTCTATCGAATTGTCCCGATCTGCTTAAGGCCCATACGTATGGTTTCTCTCTCTCTCTCTATTGTACATACATATATATACATATATCTATATATATATATGGAACTGATATGTGACTTAAACAGATCGGGAACATTAATATCGACGATAGACGATATACGCATGTAGTGGCAATGTCGGGTCCACGTGCGCGTGGAAACTGTTATTAACGAAACATCCTTCATATGCGATTTACAATAGCGATTTAATTTAACCGCGTAGTGAGTCTGCATTTCTTTATGATATGTCGCAGGACATATCGCGCGCGAGTATCTTGTTTTTAATGCTCCTTAACAAAATCATTTTAGCGAATTTAGGTTTCCCTTTTCCGTTGTTGTAGTAGTGTTCCTTTTTTTCTGTTCTTGCTCGTGGAATTTTTCGATTACATTAAGAATATCGCTAAGGGATGTAACGCTCTATCTTTTACGATATTTTATTCATAACGGGCACTCAAGACTAACGAGGTAGCCACATTATTCTTTGTAGTTTGTAGCGTGTTATTCAAGTATACGTTAATACACCGTACACACATGTACACACACACGCGCGTGCGCGCGTGCCCGTGTACACGTATACACGTACATACGGCCACACGTAACATTATTTAGTTGTATCGCATATTCCAAACTTCTTCGAGTAGGATTATTCGGGTTGTCGTAGGTATAGGAGTATACTCGTCAGAAATAAGAAAGGAATTTAGAATTCGTGTCACGAATTTATTAAGGTGATTGCACGACATCCGAATCGACAAAAAGCTTTGACGTGCCTTTTTTGGAACAGTCTCATTATTTATTATTCTTAGATTATTACTTTACATCATCGTCGAACTCATCTTATCATTTTCATCGCCATCGTACTCGTTATCATCCCCATTATCATTGTCATTAGCTAGCCATCATTGTTCTTATGTCTAATATATTTCGTTCTAAATTGTATAAATAACGTATTACACAGAGAGGGCAAGCATGCCTTAAGCTTTGAAACGCGAAATTATTATTAAAATTTCGAAATATTCATAAATTGTATATAAGTTTAACGACCTCATGTGAATATATATATATTTTTTTTGCATTAACGCTTTGCATTTTGGCAAGAGAAACATGTACGAATCAAGAATTACACTGCATAAATCGATGAAAAAGAGAAAAAAGAAATGAGAGCAAATGATGGTTTCTGTTTTCAGAGTACAGAGTAGAGTGATCTCTTCCTGAATGCTGGGGAGGGAAAGAGAGACAAGGAAAAGCATTCTGTGAAAGAAATGTATGCCAAACAGCAATAAAGTATCATAATGGGTCTTACGATAAAGAATTTCTCGCGGATATCACAAACTCGCATATTTCATTTTTCCGCGTATATAGATGTAATAATAATGATACGTGGGAGGGATGGGAGGGAGCGCAATTCTATTTATAAATAGTTTTCATAAAACGAGGTTTTGCAATTTACATTTTTCTCGTTCAATCATGTTCTTCCTTATTGCATTTTCTGAACTACAATCGACATCTTACACATCAATGATTTTTTCACACTATCATTCTCAGGCGGTATATGATAGACGCGGTACGCACGTCATTTTTTCAGGTACCGGCGTCGTTATACGCAACTGCTAATATATGTATTTCGTGATTTAATGGAAATAACGCTTATAGGCATTGTTTCGCTAATTCTATTAATATAAATGTATAGAAAGTTTGTAACGGTAATATTCGGCGTATATGGGATTCATTGCGGTATGTTGTTTAGAGAGTGATTCACGTCCAGAGTTTAATTAGAGATATTTTACACGTAGAATGTGAGTGGAAGGGAGAGCGAAAGCGTAAAAGCGAGAAAGAGAGTGAGTGAGTGAGTGAGAGAGAGAGAGAGAGAGAGGAGAAAATTATAGAACATAGATATATAAAGATATACAAGTGTAGTGTAGGTGTAATGGAGTTTTAAACATGTTACCGGTATCAATGAGAAGAGAGCCCTTTACGCGATACAATAAGTAAGCGACAAACGATATACAGCTGCAATTTAACTATATTTAACTTATAGAGCAGGGCCGTTACGGCTATCGGGTCCATGATAGCCTCGCAAATCTCTCGAGTGCCTTTATATCGAGAGGCATCAGACGAATCGACGTAATCTAACGATGCCGAACTTGCTTCGGCAAAAGCAAAACCCTATAGACTTCTTCGTTTCTTCTTCTTCACTTCTTCTTCTTTTCTACAGTTACGCAGTTTAACTCCCCTTGTCTTAAGATTGAGCGATTTGCCCTTTCGTATACGCAATTAATATGTTTGTACACATTGTACACGGAAGAAACAAACAAAAAAAAAGAAATATTTAACCAACTCGATGTGCCTGTTTAACGAATAATCGTATTTACACTGGGTAATTATAACTTGTAATGGGGAAAAAAAGAAAGGGATAGGTAGAGAGGGAAGTCCGTTCTTCTTTTTCTTCGACATAGACTGAGCGCGCTATGACGTATCAGTATGAAGCATCGCAATCATCATAATCGATTTGCTACGTGTTTGGTATCCACTTCTCTCGGTTTCTCGGCATAACGGATCGGTCCGCGCCCGAATTGTACATATACATACATTAACATTACATACATGCTTCCACGTATGACAGTAGAGATACTCGCGTCGCATTATAAAAATGGAAAAAAAAGGGAAAAAGAAACCACCGTATAACCGTCCTCCACGTGAGTCGTGAGAGGAATGAACACGAGTCATATCCTTAGGTTTCATCTCTCCCAACACGTCAGACGTGCGTATAGGACGTGCGTGTTTGTCGCACGCACGATACATGCGCGTAAGACGAGTAGTCATACCACTGCGATAGCGATAAGTTTCATCCCCCATCTTTCTCGTCATCCTCCCACGCATATAGGTTCGCGCGTATTACTAGATCGACAACGATTTTAGTCACGTTTTTTCTTCACGAGCAGGTCTTGACTGACGACAGAGATTTCGAGGAATAGCACCGAGAGGATCGGATGGATGATTGTAGTTATATTAACGTTTATCGTTTCCGTCAGGCATCGTCCACGTGTAAAGAAGGAGACACGTGGTAGTGGACAGAGTGGGTGAACATGCATTTTAGGCGGGTGACATATCGACATATTTTAAGGGTACAAAAACGCGCACGGACCATTTACTTAGGTCGACCTGATTTTCGTATTGACGTATCGATATGTTGTCTGAGTTTCCGGAGTCGATCGTCGGTCAATGCGTGCTCCGAGTCATGTTACGCATTCACGGTTATTTTAACGCATATATACATTGTAAATAAGAAAAAGAAAATACGCTCACACATATGTCACACATATACACACATACATACACACACTACACTCATGAATAAATTATCTAAGTAAAAAGAAGTAGAGACGCTATAAAACGCTGTGTGGAAAGTTAAGTAAAAGATACCGTAACTGTATCAATGGTTCTATATAGTTGTGATATTTTATTATAACGCTGATAGTCGTGCGCAGTTAACTTTTAACGGGTTCTCTCGCGTGCCCAATCATATATATATATATATATATATATATATATACATGTATATATATGTATACATTGTATAGATATGTATATATTATACATGCAAATATAATATATACATATATGTATATATTATATGTACATATGTATATATATGTGTATATATTATATATACATTTATAATATATACATATATATATATATATATATATATATATATCGCGAGATATAAAGTATGTAGGAGTATCCTAATATTAACACAATGATTAAACGCGGGAGGGAGATCGTACGTTGCTGCAGTAAAAGTAATTCATGATGACCGACAGGGCGATACGCGATACAACGCGATTCCGTTTTCTTAATTCCGAAGTCTAAGCTATATTACACGAACTTTCACGGATGTTTTCTTTCGTCATTTCGGCAATCTTTGAAGTATCATTTAAAATGTACAAGAAATTTAACGTACGTGTTCTGTGGTTCAAAAACTATTAGACTATTTCATGTTAGAATTGTGTAACTGGTGAATTTTTTCCCGTGATACAAGAATCAGATTTATCCACTTAAATCGTCTAAATAGGCGTCGATCTTCTAGAAACGAGAGTAAATAAAAGTAATTATTTATCCGCTCGCGTACACATATACGCGGTCGCGCGTAATTGTAACGTTTACTCCTTTCGTTAGTATAAATAACACATGTTAGAGATAGGTATCTAGTTCTTTTAATCCGTATTGGAATATGTACATATGTTTTTCTTATTGCATCCGTGGTGGGGGAGTGATATATTAGTCTTAGGTGTAGTGCCTAAAAAGTGATGAGATTGTGTGTGTCCGATAATAAGATTTATTTAACGTAGAATCTCCAAGTCATTTCCGCGCCGGTAGAGAAAAAAAGATTTAACGTAACGCGAACGATCGTCCGAAAAAATGAGGCTTGATTTATATTGAATACGCAATTATAGAAATTGGTAGTCTCAATATACGAATTTGTCGACGAGGGGAAGGATCGGGAGGGAGAGAAGGAGGGCGATCAGGTCGTACGATCGGTATTTTTTTGTGTACAGGCTGCGGATTATTTATGGAATCATGCAAAATTGGGAAACGCTTGGAGGTGTGTGCTTAGCGTGGGAAAGATATTCGTGTAAATACGGTGAAATGCAAAGAAAAATGAAAAAAAGAATATAGGATAAGGGGGCAGGCTTACAATTTCATTGTGGAGTTAGGACTATAATATTCATCGCGTTATACGGACAGTTCGTATAAAAATTATATTATCATTGTAAACAAAGTAACACTGACTCTCACGAGAGATAGATATAGTAGCTATATATAAAGTATAGGAAAGAATAACATATTTTTGGAGTTAAATAGAGGATTGATATTGTACTGTACTCCGTAAGTTATAGAACGTTTCTCTTTCTTAGGTTCTCGGTCTCTATTTGCTCGTCGTAATCGGACCACATTTACAAATATAGACAATTATTAGCTAAATTTCAGCTTCACCGATAATTCCAGTTAATTATCAAATTTTATTGAACATCACATTTTATCTTGCAAATGGAATCTACTTGAATATATTCAATTATCTTTTAAAACGTTTAAACTGATAATCCTAGTTAAATTTTGAATTTGTTAGAAAATATACATGTAAATCTAATATTACATTTATACATTTAGAATATAATAATTACCGTTAAAAAAATAAGACGTTTTTAAAAATGCAGTATTTACATTTGAAATTTGAGCGAGCTTAAAATTTGATCTAACGCAGAATATAATTATTGAAGTTGATCATACCAGGAATTTCTAAAAGCTGTCTATTACTAAGATAAATGAAGTCCGATTAGGGAAGCAAGAATAAATAGTCTGTCGCGGGGACAATTATAAAGTAGAAAGTGACGAGATTCACTATCTGACTGTTCTTCGATGTTCTTAATGTTCACTATTATACTATGGTAATGTGTAACGGCAAATAATAATCAACGGTGGGACTTGTACTATATACGTTTATCGATTTATGCATAATGCTGTATTATAAAGATTAGGTGAAAAGAGAGAGAGAGAGAGAGAGAGAGAGAGAGAGAGAGATAAAGAGAGTACCCGCGTATGTAGACACATGATTGTTTAGATTCTCTGGTCGTTAACGAGTTTCATCTTTACGTGGCTAACGTAGGCAACTCTCGAGTTAGGCAGGTTTTTTAGTACGGAAAACATTTCTCTCCACCGAGTCGGTAGTGAATTTGGTGTTTTACAAATCGAACGTTTTAGACTCCTTCTTCCTCGTAACGTAGAAGACGATCCGGCACCCCCCACCCCTACCCCCCTCTAAGCTCTTATAGTCGCCGGATCGTTCGTGCATTGGACCAGACAGAGAGATTGATCTTTACACTCATATTTATAGAATCAAAAAGAGAGGTGCGTAATTAGGGGACTCCTTTTTCTTTTACAAACGCAGGCTATTTTTCGCTCCTTCGAGTCTCTCCACACTTTTGGTACACACGTTGTGGGACCGAGAGCGTTATTGTCTCTTCTAGTATCCAGCGGCGTGCAAAGCTCGTATTTTAACTACACCCTTCGTGTGAAATGGACAGTATTCGTTTCTTTACTACTTATTACATTTAGGCACGTTTCCTCTTAGCCGTTGAAATTAAGGATAATCAGGCGTAAAGCCGGGACAAATTGTAGAAGAGGCGCAGATGTATGTAAGTGTTCGTCGCATTTCGACCTCTATATACGATTGTAAGCCGAAACTTGCTGTTCTCTATCGACAAAGCATATGTCTACGCTACGTATTTGTACCGTGTGTAAGAAAAAAATGTACGTCTATTTCGTGTATTTTTAATTGTACTATGATGATAGTAGTAACGCGCGAGTTGCATAATTATTGGATGCGTCGTTCTAACGGCATCGTGATTACAAGTGTTTATTTCGAGACATTACACCGTACGGATTACCGTAAATTCCTTTTAGTTTAAGCTCTCGATCAATTATATTTTTTCGATTACATTACACTCGATAATCTTTAACATGTTAATCGAAATTTCTTATGTTTACAAAGCTAATTATCATCTAAATCTACTTGCTCGAGTTAATTTGGCGGGACATTGCAACTTTCGATAGACTGATTTTACGAAGCAATTCAGGCCTGTATTTATATCGCGCATAAACTTTTGGTTTGATTTCAAGTTTTATCTGTTTTACGAGGAAGATCTTAAATAACCGAGTCTCATGGTGTGTGCGATTTTTAGTATTTAAACGCGATTCATAATGACTGCGAGCCTCAATTATCAGAAATATCGTCGAATACAATTCTCTATACGATTGCGCGTGTATTCAACTCTGTCAATCTTCTTTTAGGGAAGAATTTTCGTAGCGTTGCCTTACTAAATGAATTATTACCGATATATACGATAATTGTTATACGCGACATTCATACATACACACATAAATGCAAGGACGTTGCCGAATAAATAAATTGTTAAAGTCATCGATTATAATATACTATCTGCCAAATCTCTTTCTCTTACACGAACAAAACATCACACAACACATCACGAGGGATCTACGTTGCGGGTAGATTTAGGGGCGCGTGCGTTTGGAAACGGTGACAATTATCATATGAAATTTAACATTACGAAATGTTCAGCGTTTCTCTAGCTCTTCCAGCGACGTGGATCTTTGGACCACAATATATATATATATATACATATATATATATATATACACGCATACGCCAAGAATATAGTAACCCCAATTGATCGTCCGAAGTGGCGAGTAAAGTGAAGTTTCTAAACTAAGATTACTAAGTGTATAGAGCGTTTTTGAGCTTTCGGGGCTCTCCAAAGCCCTTCAAGGTATTGTAACTTGACCCAAGAACCATCTCTGCTTGCGTATGTGGTGGCCCACTCCCTTTGCGGGTCCGTTCATTAACACACAGGGCAGCACACAAGTCGTAGTGTCAGGAACGGTGTGTCACGTCTGAGCACAGATAGCCGACGAGCAATTTAAACATTTTCGCCCTAGGTTTTTTTTTTGGTACATGCGTATCGTAATGTAAACGACCCGTTCGCTTATCACGATTGTCATTTTCAAATTTCACGGAATGGAATTATGTTACTATACTAATTATGCTTCAGCTGTTATGCTGCAGCAATAAATTGAACAATCAGCTGTTTGTGCTTATTGTATCAAGTATGATGAATTCGAATCGCGAGGTACACCTCCGTGAAAAAGTTATTCTATTCTGATCTGTTATTACAATCAATATATCGTACATTTCAACAATTATTGATTGAGCTGATACAAAATTTGGCGTCTTAAAATTTACATTTGGCACATTTACATCTTCATTTGGCAATGCGTTTTCATAATTTTTTCGAGAGTTGCTCTCCGATTATAAAAACAATTGGACACGCGCAAGTTAAAGCATAGAGTAGCGTCTTTAGCAAGGGCATAGTTACTATTACAAAGTAAAGAGGAATTCTAATTAAGGGCTTTAGAATAGACTTAGGTAGAGCGTGCCTTGCGTTATCGCGACATCGACATCGCTGAATGTCTACTTTTCTCGGGGTTCATTATTCGTGCCAACCCGTACTTGGGCACTCGACAGGTGTGCATTGTGTGTGCGATTGATATGTGTATATATAATTATAGATATTTACATATATATATTACACATATATGTACATAAAATATATATAATTATATATACGTACATCTACATAGATAATAAATATATATATATACATACGTGCATATATATTATATAAATATTACATCCACTACTATAAATATTATACATATTGCATAACGAAGCTTGTGTACGTGCGACGGATTATTCCGGAGGTCGACCAGAGTACAAAGCGTAGAATTAGTTTGGCCTCGGAAATACTCTGCGCACGAAGTCGAAATCGATGTCATCAAGACGAATGTTAGTACTGAGAAACATATTGTTTAACAAAATAAAAAAAAAGTATGCGTAGTGTAGAGAAAGAGCCGCCGACCGCCACGTTGTTAATACCGTCGCATCGACTGAGAACGGATTGTCGTCTACTTCTTCATTGACAATAAGCGAAAGTTACGGCGGATACCTATCGGGACGAACGAAACTTCTCTGGTATAAAAATTCGAGTTTGCATACTCTTCCTGTTTACGATTGGCGTAACATTAGTGATAACGACATCCGACGTGCTGTATCGGAAAGAGAAATTCTATATAAAGAGAAAATTCCGGCTCTCGATCGATGCGGCGCAACATTTGACAAAATAATACACCGAACGTATGTCTAAGCTACCAAAAAAAAAAAAAAAATTCTAATCTCGTCGCGATGCAGCTCGTGACCGTCGAGAAACGGCAGTCGCGTTGCAAAGGATGAAAAATAAAATAAAAAAAAAGAAAGAGAAAAGAGAGACCGAGGTTCCACGGGTCTTGAAGCATTCTTCGGCGGTCACGAGTTTCTCGCTCTTCCGATAATAGGGATTTTAACAATCGGTGACGACTATAGAGAGCGTTTCTGAATTTTTTAAGTCGCGCATCGACATTAAGGTGCATATATCCTGTGGGCGCAAGAGGTCCATTTGATATTTATATTTTAATACACACAACACGAGCCGATTACATTTAGTAATTGTATTGTAATTATCGAATATATTGATCAAACCGCCCCGGCCGTTTGCCCGCACGTCGCGTGATTCCTCACCAGGATGTAAGGTCGCCGACCGATCGGGGTCGATCAGAACGGCGCGGCGCGCGGAGTGGCGAACGGGGCGTCGAGCGATCGGCCGGCCACGGTGCGAGCCACGGTTTTCTGTATATTACTGTAGTATAATAATCAAACTAAAGACTAATACTTAAGGTGATCGATGAGGCTCCGTTGTAGTTCGGAGTTGCGCAAATGTATTCGAATTATTACGCAACGTAAACGATACGTGAGAGAGAGAGAGAGAGAGAGGGTGAGAGAGAGATTGAGAGAGAAAGTGAGGGAGAGAATGAGTATATCGAGCAGAAGGGTGAGAAGAAAAATAAAGAAATATACATTTGACTAATTAACAAAGTGGACATGCAATGTCCCGAAAAAGTAACGTCCTGAAATCTACGGAAAGTACGACAATGTCCCATAATGTCATAAATCCATATGGAACAAAGCTTTGGAAGGGTTTACAACCATTTCCACGCGAAGCGGAGTTTCAACTTAAACCTATTTATTTAGTTTTATATATTAATATTAATATATCAATATCTTTTATCTAATATATGTGTTAATATATCCTTTATCTAATTACCTTTGTTTACTCTTTTTTATATTTAGAGACATTTTCTCGATTTATTCATTTCGATCTATAATTTTTCAGGACATCGTCCCATTTCTAAGCTTTTGGGACATTGTCACGCTTCTCAAATGTCGTGATTATAATTCTTTTTTGGACATTGTCGTAGTTTTCAATGCTCGCGATTATGATTTTTTTTCAGGACATTGCATGCCCACCATTAACAATGATCGGGTACACGCAGCGGTAACAGACGTCACTGTGTCTTAGTTCGTAAATAAATGCGGATGCCTGCGGGCAATCTGTGAACTGAGTTGTGTAGTGTTAAGCGCACTCTCTCTTATCTTTTTATCTTAATTTTTTTTTAATTGAACTTTAAAAGTTTCCTCGATTGCGTATGCAAGAGCTCCCGTCTCCACCGATAATATTCAGCTTTGCGCCAACGAAATATCCTGTAATCGCTGAATTATTGTTTTTTTTTTTTGCTGAGTCGAGTAGAGCACTTTTTTTTTCTTTCGCGAGTTTAATCACGCATTTGATTACTCTTCTAAATCTCCGTTAGTAGGATTCAAGTCGAATTAATAAGTGAAACATTCTGTATTTCATTACCTTATTATTTTTTTAGTGTTTCTTCTGCACGAAGTTTTTCTTTTCGTGTTCGCGAAACGGAAGCGCTTTCTTTGACGATGGAAAAACGCCGTCGTTTTGCTCATTTTTTTTTTGTCAACGAAGAGAACCGAGCGGAGTGAGTCGGAGTTCGAGCTTGGCATAAAATTGCGAAATTTTTTATTTTTTGCTCCAACGTAAAAACGTCAATTATCTTGATATTCGCGACTTTTAAGAACTGAAAATAGCAATTATTAAAAATATGCCTAAGTCAGCTTGTGTCGCGCTTGAAAAATCGACCGCTCACAAACACATTTTCCCGGATGCTAATCGGGTAGCGTAGCGACGCAGCGATTTCCGGAACGAAGGCTTTCCGAGAAGGAGAGGGAGAGAGATAGGAGGGGTGGTAAAAGAAAAGAAAACTCTTTGACTCTTACGTACCTGTTCTATGTAATAACGTCTAAGTCCGCAATCAAAGTAAATCGTTTCACCGAAAGAAAGTGATCAAAATGAGACGTCGATCAAAAAGAAGAAGCCTCGCGTTTGTAATACGGTAGACGATGAGTCTGCTTTAGACGTCGAAACACGAATCGTCCCTTTTTATACTGCATCGTCCCTTTTGACACTGCATCGAATTCAGTAGCCGCGGATATAAATACGTGACCATAGCGATTAGAGAGTCGATACTTTGTGTGTGTCTCAGCGTTCTCGTAACTTCGCTTCGTTCTGTACCTCTCTGTGCTGTGTCGCATGACGTTAAATAACGAATATCTTGATACTCTAGACTAATATGATTCTGTGGCTTAGCACCCTCAATCCTCGCTCGCGTCCGTGTACCGAGACTCCAACGGAATGCTTGACAATTATAGATTCATACTGGTTTCAAGGCGGCACAATTTTTCTACCATGATACCTTCCTTCTGCCCTATTTTCAATTTCTATAGAATGATACTGATTGTGAATTTTTGATAAAGTCGTAGGGCATTTAATAACTTACGCGATAAACGATAAACCGCGTTTGGGAGGCCGATCTGTAGGATGTTAAGCTTTGTAACATACATTCTTTGTAAGCTCCATAGTTTTTCATCGTTTAGGATGTAAGGATGTAAGATTTCTACTCTACACATTAAACGTGTTGGCAAAACAAAAACACAGATATCGACTTTACGAGACAGTAGATCTTCGAAAAATACGAAATCTATGTAACAATGTATATCCACTTTTCTCTTTGTATCGGCTAAGTCCTGTATTAGATTATACGGAGATTGTCGCCTGTAACGCCTTCTACGTCTCCTAAATCAAAAATTTATTCAACGAAGTATGATTTTTGAACCGTTGATACTATTCGCGATTACATCACTTTTCTGAAGTAATTTGCTTTTAATTAATTAAGATTGGATTCCCCGATGCAGAGGATATCTGGACTTTCGGTGAAGAATAAAAAGAAAATAGTTTTTTCGCTTTGAATATTTCCCCAACTACTGCATTTTTTTTCAATTTCGCATTTTTTTTTTAACTATAGACCTTTTCAAATCTTGTACCTTATCAAATTTTGTATGCGTAAAAACTAGCATAAACAAATCGAAATGTTATGTGTAGCCGGCAGCAGTCAAGAAGCAATAGCAGAGAAAGTTCACAGCGCTTTGAAAACTTTGTAAAAATCTGTAGATGTTTTGCCGAGCCTTGGACACGCGTGTGTGTCAAATTTGCATAAAAATGAAAGTTTTGCAAAATTATTTCCGTCGATCTATATATTCGCCATTCAAACATACCTTGGTGAAAATTTTTCTTTCTAGAATTCTTTACATAATTTTTAAAAATGTCTACATCTAAATTGATAACTTTACAATTTCTCTATAATTTTATAATTTTTTAAAAAATTTCTCAGATTTTTTAATACGAATTTGGACACTTCAAAAATATTGAACTCTGCAGTTTTTTTTGAAATTCTTTATATGTATGTAAATTCTGAAATATTTCAAGATCTCCCCTTATACTTAATTTCCAAAGAAAACTTATAAAATCTGAAGAAATTTAAGATATTTTTTTAATGAATTCTTCATGAATTTTAAATATGAAAAATTCTTCAAAATATTGTGAGATGTGAGAATTTTTTTTACCAAGGCTAATTAAATGTTTTTCTGAAAAAGTATACGCCCTAAAAGACCTGGGAATAAATTATAGAAACGAATAATGAATTCACGATTAATTTGTACAGTTTCCGCAGTTTCGTTAAATTGTACTTTATATTAAAAATTTAATGCAGAACTGCGTGTCAATTGAGATCCTACGTAGCGCAATGCGTCGTCTATTTTTCGTTACGAAGTTTCGCGTCTTGAGTTTAATACATTTGTTATACATATAAATCAGAGTAGGTATTTAATAACTAAATATGCGACTGAATAATCAATCTGAAATTACTGTAATAGAAAAAGGAGTTTGATGGGATATATATAACATATATATCCGTAAATAGATAGTTTTTGCTGGTAAAGAACTTACTCACTTTACGCGACGTCGGTTCGCTGTATACCTGCGGATTGTGCGCGTATAAGCGGGACGATATTGTATAAAAACAAGCACATTGTTTGCAGGCAAATGTTATATACGTATATTGTAACAATTGATTAAAAACCAGGGTACGTCTTAATATGTGTATATGTGTAATACATTAACGCGTTAAGACACACGTTCCGCGATCGCTGGATCGCCGGAGCGGCGAATGTCGCGTTACTATAGATTTTCAATACTCGCAGTGTATATAGGTCGGAACACGGCCTATATTGTAAATAAACGATAGCGTTATTTCGCTGATGCATTTCGAGCACGTGCTAGTGTATTATTGGGGATCATAAGAAAATTAGGGGAGGTAGTGTAATGCCAAAATTAATAGAACAGAGGAGAAAGGAACGGAACACTCGGCAACTCGATGTTAAACCGTTGTAGACTTCTTAATTATTATCGTTCCTATTTGCAAGCTGTGACTGCAATATCTCGTAAATACGTTCAGATCAAAATTGTTGAGCTAGCTGCAAACACGAGCTGTAAGCCGTGTAACAACCTTTGTTGTCGAGCACCCCGTGATTCACTTCGCGAAAAGAAAAAAAAAAGAAAAAAAAGTTGTCGCGTGCTTCGACAGGATATGATTGTTAAGTTCGTTAATTTCAAGGAGGATTTAGCAACGAGACAGTCGGGTAATTCACATTCGTGTAAACTCTATTTCTAACAATTTTTCTAAAAAAAACTCGGACGAGTGTTTACGATGCATCGAAGAGCAAACGACTGATTGACTACCACATGCGCTCTCGCGGAGGACGTGCTCCAACACTTCCTCCTTTAAGAAGTTATTTTTCAGGATATGTTTTTGCTTTGCTAAAATATAAAACCGATCTATAACGTTGGATCCCTGCGCGGGTCGATCTGAGTTACGCTGACGGGAACAATATTTGTCGTTGGTCTTCTCATCGTCGTCATAGTTTTCAGACTCCTGTAGAGTCTTTTCTGAGTGATAGTTGCTAAGAGAATCCGGTGTTTTATAAAAAATCCAATTGTCGAATAGAAGTGATTTAGATGATGTTTAACCAGTTTCTCATCATCAAGGCGTATCGAGTAGTCAGTATCGAATAGTACTTATAGAAATAAACGAATAATTGATATGTCGATTGAGTTAATATAGACACACATCTCAATCATCCATACAATGTTCGCTGGAATTTTCTTATCATTGGTAAGTGGTAGAAATTATTATTCAACACGTTTGATGATTTCTCGTATAATCAGAAAACATTGCATGAATTGGAAGCATAAAATGAGGATATTTACTCTGACCGACGATAAGCAAGATACCAGCGCGAAAGAGAAAAAATAATAAAAATATAATGTGGTTCACAATGTATTAAAGTTATTTTGAGCAAACGATCTTACGAAAACGTAAATGAAGCATCTTGATATAATAATATTATTCTGAAAAACACAGACGCGTAGCTGGAGCGGGATTATTAAATCGTTTTGTTTTCATACAGATGCATGCCTAATTATGCTATTTATTCCTTACCTTATAGTTTACAGTTATAGTATAAATTATTATTTCTACACGATTAGCGCCGTGTGCGGTACATATCTTGATTGATATATAAATCCGGGAGGGCATTTTCAATAAAATTCGATATACATATATGAATGAGACAAAGTTTCTCGATAGCCTCGGAGATAATTTCTTATCAGATCCACATTTAAATATTTCAAGATGCCGTCGACGGTACTGGTACGGCGGAACTGTTACTTTGTGCTATCTTATGTAATACACTGGCCTGCGTGGAGGATGCTACCAATTCAACCATGTTCGCTGACACAGTGCTCTTAGATGACACGTGAAAGAAATGTAGCATAAAACCAGCTGCCAACAGCAGATGCATACCCAAAATTACAATAACGTATATAATCCTATGTCTCCCTGAAAAATCAATTATCAAATTCAATTATTTTACTTGATGTTTCCACTTGATAGTTTCAACTTGTCTGACTTAAGTTGTCTTTCATGCATTTTCTATACATTTTAACACACAGTATGACACACATTTTAAAGACACAGTATAGGCTTGTTCTTTATCGCTGTACTAAAATTTTCCTTCTTGCTTTCGCCAAACTTCAAATATATATATATATATATATATATCTTTCATTTTAAATACAAGTGTAAACTAGTTCAGCCACAAAGAACAGGCCTTATGTGATATTATCTTACCTGCAATTACTGGTAACAATGAACGTAGTAAAACTCCTCCAGATAAAAACGTCACTAGTAAGACTAGACTCCACTGCAACCAGCCAATTTGAATTACCCACAGAAAAGCTACTGGGATATAAATGCTTAAGGAATATCCGTATAGACACAAAAGTTCTAAGAGTCCTGGGATGGCATAAGACTAGAAAAAAAAAAACAAAGATTTACATGAGTGATTAACATTGGACATTAAAGATTAAAGCAAAAAAATACATATTCAATAGCGAACCTCAATCAATTCCTCTTCGGTATTCCTCGAACTGTTGGTCCATTTTAACGCGCCCCACAGAGCCAACGGTAGAAGCCACGCATATAAAAATATAAAAGTGGCCGCGTACGACACGACATGGAAGTCGTATCTCCAGTGATACTTGATGGAGCTAGCGGTCTGCAAATAGTTCGTTATGTTCTCGCTGATCGCGATAGCGAACACCAGGGTGACACACACCCAGAAGGGCCCGTACAAATCTGGATTTGGCCTTATGTGCGTTATGAGATAATTGTCGCTACCGTGCGGTATCATGGACCGCTTCAGCCTCTCCAACACGTCGTTCGTATTGACGTTGAAGAACTTTTGATAATACTCGATCGTCCAGAAGTTGTGCTGGGTGGTACCTGAGAAACGACACGCTCCCGTTTATATCGCAATAACACTTGCCTATCGATATAACATAAAACAGAGATTCTCCGAGAACCAGACCGATTAACAGACCTTCGGTTTTATCGGGCATTCCTTGTAAATCCTCTATAATACCGATACCCATCGAGTCATTTGGGAGGTTATTGAAGGGCTGATGAGCGGAGGCCCCGCTGGCCAGCTGTCCCTCGGAGTTGCCGGCATGGCTCATCGATGGGAAATCGTGGAAGGATATAAACTGCGCATCCGTGTCCTTTGATTGACCACCGTCCATGATTCAGAGTGCAATGTTTTCCCTTATTTCCCGTTTGACAGATGCCCATGTATATAAGGGAAGAGCACGAGAGCGGCGCCACGCCGGCCTCTTCCTATAACTTAATTAAGTCTTCCAGGCGCACTAACGCCAACTGAGAAAATGAATACGAACTACGTAGCGATATCCACGATGTCATGTCTTACGGCAACGGTATGTATTTCGTTTTTCATGTCCACTGTCCGGTCCATGAGACGAATATAATTATTGACAGTTTATCATTCTGTCGTTAGATTTAGAACATATTAATTGTAATTAGTCTGTTCACAATGATAATTTATTATCTTGCAGCTGTTTAACAATGCATTTACTGTAGTGAGTGATCTTGAGAAGGAAAAGGTGAATATTTTGACGTAATAAACATTCTCATTTGTACATGCAAATACATTATCGTATACATCTTTCTGTTATATTGTTGATTCAACAATTTCCGAAGATAACATTATTCTGCTTTATTATTTTACGACCATCAAGAATCTTTTTATAATGACAATATTTCGATTCATTTCTTTATAGGTTAAGTGATGTATGCTTGAAGAAAGGGGAGAAAACAAGGATGTTACATCGGCCCCATAATTTGGTGAACTTTATTCGAAACGTAACATGTCGTTATCGTGCCGATCAATTGTGTATATTCCAAATTGGATTAGTTAGGAGACACGCCAGTATTTTAGTAGTGCCCAAGTATGGTACGCGACACAAGGTGCATACGTTTTCGAATTCCCAAAAGGTTTTTGCTAACAGAAAGGTAGGCAGGCACGGCGAATACAGGTGGACTTACGCGACAAGATTTTCATCTAACGATGCGAAGTCTAATAAGGATAAGTCTGATGCGAAACTAGTTGAGGAGGTTCAGCAGAGAATAATAGAATTGAATGAGGAGAAGCTAGGTAAATTGAAAGAGAGAGTGTTAGACATTGAACCAGTTATATCGGAAAAGGAGGAGAGAAAGGGACAAGCGGGGAAAAGGGAGAAGCTCATTGAAAAGTCTGTGGAATCTAAAGAACCATCGAAAGATGATGTTGTCTCGAAAAAAGGTATAACAATAGCTATTAAATAATAATTAATAACTTATAATTATTGTATTGAGGACAATGAAAAACGATAAATATTTTGGCTTAAATTCAAAATATAAATCTGATTTGTAGCAAAAAAGCAGGTTAGAGTTGACAGATCGACATCCTCTTTGGAACGTAACTTTATTACACCCGTAAGGGCTATGGCAGACTTTTTATTGAAGCCTTCTGATCTGGAGACTTTGCCCAAAACAAAAAGACGTTCCCCGTATGAATTTGAACCGCCTATCACGGTGTATTGGAGGAAAGACGTTGAGGCTAAGTAAGAGAATCGACTTAATGAATTTCTATTTGCGTGTGAAACTTTGAATATTTTAAAGTTCTGCCTTTTTGTAGAGCCTTAGAAGTCTGGGGTTCTAGAGAGGCTTTGTTAAAGGAACTTTTGAAGAAGGAAGTTGAGCGGAAGATCTATCAGCAAAGTAAATATGCATATTCTCACACGTGTGATTTTATCTACTTGTTTGACACGAAAGTGGTTGTTTCTGTAAAAGAGGAATGTCTTCTCAGGACAAAGAATATCTGTGCTCAAAGATTGTCCATTTTACAGGTTCATTCACATATATCTTGATATATAATTTGATAGGAATATTTTCTTAGCAGAATAAAATTAATTGATACAAAGATTGAGACACAAGCTTTTCGTATATTCTCTTAATAAAATAAAATTAATTGGCACAAAGATTGAAACATAAGCTTTTCGTATATTCTCTTAGTGGAATAAAATCAATTTGTACAAAGATTGAGACACAAGCTTTTCGTCGCAGATGTTTTTACGGTCAAACGGAGATTGAGGGACTATAGACGGGAGATCGGCAGCAAGACGGAAATCATTCAGAAAGAAGGTCTTTTTGGAAGATCTGGCAAAGTAGTATTGACTGCAATCGCTATGTACGTACTGAATTTACGCGTATCACGCAATCGTGTAGCTATTTATCCTCAATTAATTTCTTCCTTTCCTTTAGAAACGCTAGTAATTTTGTGTGCAAGTTGATCGCCTGGTTGTACACTGGCTCGCACAGTATGTTTTCCGAATGTGTGCATTCTGCGGCGGATACTTTTAACCAACTGATTCTAGCGTACGGCATTCATAAATCGGTGCAGGTAAACGCAAAATAATTAATGCAAATAATTTTTTTTTAAGGAATCTCTTCCAAGCTTTATTTGTGTTTTGTACAAATTACAGCATCCCAATCCTGACCATCCGTACGGTTACACGAACATGAAGTACGTTTCCTCATTGATATCGGGCGTGGGAATCTTTTGCGTCGGCACGGGTCTTTCCATCTATCACGGAATTCACGGTCTTCTTTTTCCCGCGCCATTAGATTCTCTATTTTGGGCGTACTTTGTCCTGGGTGGGTCCTTGCTGTCCGAAGGGGCGACCTTAATGATAGCATTACACTCCATAAAGAAAAGCGCAGAGGAAAAGAAAGAAAGTTTGAAACAGTTTGTTCTGGATGGACAGGATCCGTCTGTAAATGTCGTGCTCATGGAAGACTTTGCAGCTGTAAGTCATTATTTTTTTATTCTTTTTTTTTTTTTTTTTTTCAAATATCTTAGCATCTTATTCAGAGAGATCTTTATATCGTCAGGTGATTGGAGTCATTGTTGCAGCTGGATGTATGGGCTTGACCTCATATTTAGAAAATCCAATGTTCGACGCTATCGGTTCGCTTCTGGTTGGTGGTCTGCTCGGTGGAGTGGCGTCTTTTATAATTTACTCGAACGTTGCTGCACTCATAGGAAGGAGTATATCGCAAGAGAATCTCGATAAAATTAATGCTGAATTAGAGGCAGATATAATGGTAACACCGATCTTAAAATCAATCGCTATGTAGTATTGTATGTTGCTTTTTAAAGTTTAAAATTTTTATGATATCAGGTCCGTGCAATTCATGACGTGAAAGGCATTGACATGGGTAATAATTTAGTGAGGTATAAAGCCGAACTGGATTTTGATGGACGCGAACTTACAAGATCTTATTTAGATAAGCACGATCTTATTGCAATGTTGGAGGTATAGATTTTACATTTCTTGAAAGAAATTTATCTTTGTCTTTATTGTGTGTAGTATATAAATAAACATCGAATCGTTATTGTAGGAAGTGAAAAGTATGCAAAATATTGATGAGTTAGAGGCGTTTTTATTGAAACACGGCGAAAATATCGTAGACATGCTTGGCGGAGAAATCGACAGAATAGAATTAAAATTAAAGGTAAATGAGTACGTTTTATATAATAATATATGAAATATATAATTAGTGTTATATAAGTAATATTTCATGTAAATATATAAATCTATAGTAATTTAATATTATTAATGATATGTTCATTTTTCTTACTTTCAGAAAAATCATCCAGAAATACGGCATTGTGATCTAGAAATTCTATGAAAACTTATTAATATAATTTCTTAAGTTAAATCGAAATAAAACTAGATGTAAATTATTTTAATGAAGAATAAGAAATTATTTTAATAGGCAATGATGCTTTTGTTATAGGATATAACCTGTATTTTATTTAGTATTTAGTACTAGATCAAAAATCAATTTTTGTAAAGATTTTATGTATGTTGTACAAATCTTGTGGAAATTACTACACACCATTCAGTATAATAAATCAATAGAAATTTCTTAAACATATAATGATAAAAATGTTCTGTCTCGTAAAATAAAAATATTGCAATTTATATACATACAGTATATATATATTTTGTTACATATATATACATTCTCGATAAATGGAATAGGGAATAGAATTTGTTTTAGAGAAATTCGATAGATGAAGAATCCTTTACTGTGCAACAACAAATAACATCTAAAAAATTGTTTTATATTTTTACGTTTTGCAGCACATAGCTGTGTTTACATTGCCAATCGCAATATTGATTAAAGAATACATATGGCATAGCCAATCTAGATATATCAATCTACAAAAATGTTCATTATCTCTTAAAACTCGATCAGTTAAATATTTGCATTCCAATATCTTTTATTATTTCGACTTTACGCAACACATTTTGAAATTATCGGGAACGCGTGAAGAATAAGAACACAAAAAGAATTTGAATTATTTGATAACTTAATATATCAATAATTTAATATTTAATAATAATTACAATAACATTTTCGATAAATTGATATCGATTTGAAAAAAGTATATTAAAAAAAAAACAAGTGCACATTGTTGCTTTAATATTTTAAATTGCCGAAGTACATATCATGAGAGTAATTATTTCGTTTGTCACGAAATAATTTTAGTTGTTTTAATCAAGAAATGGCTATTAAATCGCTTCGTATCTTAAAATATAAATTCTCACTCTATATCTCGCTTGATTCGCTTTGAATGAGTTAAAACTAACTAAACTGGTCGCTATGAGCTTTGTAATCACAACAAAGCGTTACTATGGACACCTCGATACTTTAATGGACCTGGACGGCTGGACGACAGTCGGTTCTGCGGTGACCAACTGCGAAGTTGAACTGTTAAACACACTTGAAGGGAAGTCTTGCAGTAGCCAATAGTTTTGCGTTGTACAGATACTTAAAAAAAAAAAATTCGTATGGACTTGCGTATGCATTTGAAATTAATCGCGAGATGGTCGCGAATCGACTGGAGGACAGCTGAACGATTGATGTTACGGAGCATCCTAAAATGTCACGCGGAAGTCGGGCCTCTCGTGAGCGAAGATCTACAGCGATCGGTGAACAGCTTCAGCGAAATGACAGCGAGGATGAAGCTTCCGTTCGCGGTTTGGAAAACGACAGCTACGTGAAACGCGGTAGCACGCCGTCACAGAAGCGCTGGACCAGCTCGGAAGATTTGAGCCGACCCTACGGCCGGGAAATCAAAACAGTCAGTATTGTTTACTGGGGCGAAAATTAAAATCGAAAGTAGTTTCAAGCGTTTGTAATTAGCGCGATTGATAATTTTAATTAAAATTGGTAATTATTTAATTAGACATGTAATCATGAATTACAAATTGCAACCGTTTTGCAGTCGTGCAAATTTATATATAATTAATATTCAATTAAAAATGAATGAATGATTGGCGTTGTTATGTGTTTTATTCATCTGTCGAAGTACACAGCAGGGCAATATCGTATGACGTATTGACCTAATTAATAATTGACTTGATAAATACTTGGCATTTTATTTGCCAACTTATTTATTATTTCAAATTGAGAAGCACCAGGTAATTATATTTAAATAAAAAGTTACATTATCATTGAGCTTATCATTCAACATCTTAGGGTTTTTCTCGGAGGCAAGATAACACCGAAGACACGGAGACCGAGTCACCGGATGCTAAGGGCAATAATAAGTCACGCAAAATCGAGTCATACTCGTCTCGCGGAAAGGCGCGTTATTCCGACGTTCACGCAAACGAGAAAAGAATCGCGTCGGGTTCTCTCGGGAGAAGGAGGAAACGCAGTAAACGGACTGAAAGACGAAAATTTGGGACGCGACCTCGCACGGCGGATCACGATCACGATCGAACAGATACCGGATCTTCCGCGAGACGCTACAGTGACAGGGAAGATAGCCTCACTGATAAATCACGAAAAAGGAATAGGAACGTTTCCCGAGGTAAAGAAAGAATATCCTTTACGTCCTCGTTAAAGAATAGGCAAACTCAAAAAATTGATAAGAATTCGTCCGAAGATCCTTCTCCATTGCAATCTACTTAAAATATCCCGATTGATTAATCGCGAATTTAAATTTTAAAGCAGTTGAGAGTATTCAGTTGAAGAGGAATAAATTATTTCGCGATAAAGGCTGGCTTCTTCATCTCTTGACAATTTTTTTTTTAAATAAAACAAGTGGGCTATTCCATTTATCGAGAATATGCAAACAGAATGTATCAAAATATATATGTAAATAAATTGCAATATGTTTATTTTATGAGAACATTTTAACAATGTATGTTTATAAGAAATCTCTATTGAAATGTATTATACTGAATGGCACACAATTTTGACGGAATTTATGCAACAATATATTGTATATAAAATTTTTACAAAAATTGATTTTTAATGCATTATAAAAGGTCATGCATTCACGTTAGAGAAAACGTTTAACGTTTGCGAGGAGCGAAGGTAAAATCTATAACGTAAAATTAATAATTTTCCAACGCAAGCGGACGACGAGGTGCCCATTACCGAGATTCTGAAGAAGGCTCAAGAAAATGCGCGTACAAAATACGAGGAACCTATGCCGCTTCCGGAATTGACTACGGACACAATTTATATTCAAGGCAGAAGCGGCTTTAGCGCCGTGAAAATTGGCGGATCGGGACGTGCTTTGGGAAATGATATGACACGTGCAACAAAAGGTAGAGGTGGCTGCGATTCCGCAGAGACTCGGACCTACACGCTTATAAAGGTGGCAATCACGGCGCAGAAATTTTGGAAGTGTACAGGTCTCGTTTATCAGGGTCTCTTGGGCGGGATGGCATTTCTGCATTTCATAATGGTATACATTTTTTTTCCTCAATTGGAGAGCCCCTTGGAAAAACATTGCAATCATCATTTTTATGAAATGTGTTTATGAAACGATGGAAATTTTAATGGAAAAAATGTTGCTTGTGCATTGGCTAAATACGTGGAGAAATCTGTGGTGAAATTTAAAAAATATTGGATGTGCAATTTTCCAGGGAACCTTTCAATTTTCCTCTGAAAAATTTCTATTTCTTGATCTAATACAGATTTTATAACACCAATTAAAAAAAAAAAGAATATCATCTGATTTATGATTGCAGATTCATGTCTTTTTTAACACTTCAATGGAATTCATGTCGAATTACTCAATTTTCTCCGAAATATATGCAAATATATTCTCCTTCTTAGTCGCTCTCTGTATCATCTCCATCTTCGATAAGTACGTTTGACGTTTAAAAAGGAAGAGATTCGATATACATAACATTAATATTAATAACATTTCGCGTTTAAATATCGTTAACTTCAGGGAAGATATTGACGGTTCTAGATTCGATCTGGCGCGGCTCGATACGGATCACTTGCGCGAGATTTACACGGATCACGCGAAAACCGCGATCGCCATTCCGCTTTATCTGATAACGTTTGGACTCCACCATGCGTCGTCGAAGGTGGACGATCAGTTAGCTTTAATACATTATCGTGGCATCAATGAAACGTGGTCAAACGTAAGTACGTCGTGACGTACCGCCAGCGAGGGGATACACATGCGTGAGAGGGATACACTCTTTATTTGCGTTTCTTATATGTACGATCGACTTTTCAGAATACGATGCAGGAAACTTTCCTCGAGGAACTGAACGGCTGGCAGAAGGTAACGATATCGAAAGATTTGCTCGCGGTCTTCGCCTGGCTGTTCGTCGCTCTTGGAACGCGGGACAACATGCTATTGACGCACCTCGAAGCGATGGTGCAATACGCGAGCGACGCGGAATCCCCGAGATGACATTCGAGGAATGACTTTCACTGTCGAACGAGACAAACGCACGTGAAGCTCTTCCGCGCGATCGCGCAGAAGAGCAGACTGATTGTGAATGTTATTAAGTACTTGAAAAACAGAAATATTCTAGAGAATAATTGTTCCCTTTTCTGAATACTTACCGATGCCCGTCGACTCGAGCCTCGATTCCGGGTACAAAGAATGTGTTCAGCCAACACTCCAAAGGAGAAGGATTTAAATAACATTAAAGGTACGATTTAAACATTTATTTGTAACAGAATAGCGTTTGATATGTACAATATATATAAAGTCCGCCTAGACGCTATAGTCGATAATATATGTATACATAATAGCAAAGAGAGGACAATAATATTACGATTAAAATAACGTATGACGCGCCTGGTACAGTAGTAAAATATGTTTTGGACTTTCTTGAGCGCGCGAGAACGTCGGTGGAATCCGCAATTGCAAGATTTCGATCGCCAACGATCGCGGCCGTCGCGTCGTGATCGCGAAATAAATTGCGTATCAAAATTCGTAACGCGCGCGGGGATACACGATAGGGCAGAGAACGGGGGGGAACCTGTCGTCGGCGCGTAGGCCGGCGAGAAAATTTCTGTATGTAGATATAGCTTACAATTGCCGATTCGAGCGGCGCGCTCTCGTTCTTCTTTTTTTTACGCGGACGAAAGCGTTTATCATAAATAATGTGCAAAGGCTTGTACTCATTTGCGAAGCAACGGATATATACATGCTGCTTGTGTATGTGTGTGAAATTTGTTACACGCTAAAGTCTCTCCTTTCCATTCTCTCTCGATGGTTCCTCTTTAACAATTTACACCGCCTCGACGTCTTTTTTTTCTCTCCTTTCTCTCTCTTTTTTTTTTTACGTGTGTACTCTAAAATATCTCTGTGCTTAACAATATCATCAAGGCACTGTTTACTTATAGTTCTAGTTTCAAGTCGATTTTCGCCTTGTCTTCGCTGCACGGATACACAGATCGATCCCGTCATCGTGTTCACGGCATCTTTCGATTATTTATCCGTCAACGCGAGCCAAGAGAAAAAAAATAGAGACGCAAGCTAAAACTCGATGATCCGATCGCAGTGAAAATTGACATTAACTCGACTCGATCAGATCCTTTTTCTTCTTTTTTTTTTGGTTACGCTGGAGAAGACGCAGTCGCGTGGCTTCTCCCTCGACGCGCGAGAGTTTCGGTTTTTTTTTGTCATGGCTCTTACAACGATGCAATCGGTGCTCCGGATCGCGATTGAAAATTGTGCAAATTTGCAAGTGGCAGTATCGAGTGGAGTCGAACAGCGCCTTCGCGCGCTCGTGCGAGATATATCGCCGATATTTTGTAAAATATTAACGCCGCGCTCCGTTTTTGAGGCGGCGGAGATTAGTAGAGCTACGTATGATTAACGTCAACGAGCTGACGATGCGCTATAAAAAAGGATCCTCGTTTTTTTTTCTCTTTTTTGTTCGGGAGAAAATACCACAGAAAATATTCAAACGTCATATTGACAGCGAGACAACTACAAAGGTTTTCGGCTAGTCGTGGAGTCGCGCCAGCCGATCGGCCCGCGCCGATCGCGAGGGAGATACATACTCGGGATAATTATACTGGTCCTGCGTTATACCGCGAATGCGCGCCCACGCGCGTTCGTGCGTTTATCAAAAGTGTGGCTCATTCGTTCTTTGTAATCTCTCGCGTGGGAACGCAAGAACTTTGAGAAGGCACTAAAGCCGGATTTAAAACCCGTCGGCATTTTTGCCGCTCGTGGAAATTCCGAGACGAATATACATACAACGAAGACGCGGCGTAGAGCCCCATTGCGAGATAAATCATTACGAAGGCACGAACGAAGCCGATCGATTTCGAGAGAAGCAATCTTCGTGATACCGCGCATTTCCGATTTTTCTCATTTCTTTGAAATCTCGTAATGGCACCCGTCTTCGTAAGGATCTATTTAATATCGCCGGCAATGCGGATAACGACGCGGTCTTAAATCCAACTCCGTTGCGCAAGTATTCAACGATCAGAGGCGCGCCTTTGCGCCTTCAGACCGCGACTCCGAGACGTCGGGTCGATTCTCTTTCTTTTTCTACAATTTACCTTGTTTTTACCTTTGAACTTTCGCTTCCCTCTTCGATTGTCCGTAATTCGCGCAAAGTCCGCGGGAAGCGAGAGGCAACGAGCGACGAAGACGGCGTCTTCGGTTTCTTTATCGTTGCCACACCGTTTTCACTTGTTGATACCTTTCTGAGCGCGTAGGGGGGGAGGAGGGAGCGGCGAACGAGGGCCCGCGGTCGTGGACGGTTCCCTTTCATCCGTACGATCCCGCGGCTGTAATCGCGCGTCCTCCCGCCCCTACTCCGACGATCAAACGGTCTCCGGATTGTTCTGCATGTATCTGCACCACGACTGGCCGTTGTTGTTGCCCTCGGGGCATTGAAGCAATTCTCAGTCATCAAAGTCGTGCCTGAGCTTTATATAAAGGCAAGAGCCGAGAACAATGCCGAAGAGCTCGAGGACCGACAGACCGAGTCCGACGGCGCCCAGAATTATCAGGTGGTCCTTCGTCGTCTCCAGGAACTTATAAATGCAGCCCTGAAATGATAGAGATCCGGTGTTATATTAAAAACTACTCTCTCGCTAATAGGACGGAAGCTTATTTGTTCCAAAAAATTACAGTCCCTTACTATATTATATTATACGCATCATATTTTTTGACAATTTATTGAGGGGGGGATTAGATTTATATATTATAATTATATTGTGATCTAACTATCACTGAGTGCTGTCTAGAATTTGTGATGAGTTTAGAAATTAAAATCGTGTTTGCCATGCTTATTTGCTATTCCTACTTCTCTCTTCATAGTTGTTTTTCTGTAGCGCGCGATCTCAGAGACGAGATTAGTCTGAGATCATTAAAAATTTTTGACGTGTGTCAAATTCATTGTTTAAAAGCATGGCATACAAACGAAAGAGACTTACTTATACTTTAGATATGTAAAAATAAAAATGGCCCTTTTTATCAAAAAATCCCTGCGTCCAAGAATATGGCCAGATATTGTAAAGTTAAAAATACAAATTCGCAAATTGTAAAAATACAATTTTTTATTTTTAATATCTTACAATAATATTATATTTTAGGGAGAGATTCACAACTTTCTTTCTAAAAAAAAAAAATAAATTGGACGGCATTCAATACAGGCTAATGTCGCGTCTGATAATCAGCAGGAGAAAGCAGGAGGAGTTTGAAACCGCGGCAGACATACCGTGTACTGAATATTGGAGGGATGATCCCTTTTCCCGCAAAGTAGCGTTGGCGTCTTGCAGCAGCTGTCAGGTACGACGCTGCCATTCTTGAGGACCTCCTCGTCCTTATGCCACTCGCTCACGAGCCAGTCCTCGAATCTCAAGGCACCGCAGCATTTGAACTGCAAATTTCAATAATAATGTCTCTCACGATAATATTGGGAGGGAGAAAGCAGGGACGAATAGTTTTCGCGCTACGCTTCCGTTATGTAAATTTTCCCTCTCAGCCGTTTTTATTGAAGAAATTTTTAATTACTCCGCGAAAAAGGGGAAAAAGGGGAGTTCAATAATTAAAAATTTTGTAACTTTAAATTAAATTAAATCGAATTGAATTATAAATTAAATTGAATTAAATCTTCATAGAAGAATGCATTAAAAAATACGATACTTCCGATAATGAAGTATATAACACCTGCGTATTTTTTTGACGACGTGTCGATGACAAATAAAACTTTTTATAAAAATCACGTACCAAAGAAGAAAGTAACGAGCTTTTAAACTGCATTAAGAGTTTGCTGTGTTTTGTAACGACACGGGCCCATCTTTCTTATTCTCCAGTTCCGTTTACGACGTGCGCAATAAAGTATACGCGATATATATATAAGGCAGGAAGGGGAGAACGCGTGATGATAGCGGCGATAGCAACGATAATAGCCGCGTACGATAATAACGATAGCGGGACGCGTTATACGCCGGGGCGCATCGCGGAGTCATTGAGAGCGTGGAGGGTCACAGAGGAGGGATGGGAGGGCCGAGAGGGGAAGGAGAGGAGAGGGGGGAGCAGATTAATGGAGGTGAGAAACGTGTTCCGGCGGCGGCAGCAAGTTAAATGGTAACTTTAATGCGGGCACGTAATCCCGCGGGATTCATCGCGCGCCGGAACCATTAGTCGCGATAAACACTTCTACGGATCCTTTACACGTGCACAGGCGTTACGGTCAACGAATTTTGCCTTCCTTCCTGAACACACATAATTCGGCCGTCCCGGTTGTGTCGTCTTGGAGGCACTAGACTAATCTGGAGGCTAGACTATATCTACAGAAGAGATAGCGTGAGACGTTTCCTCATCTCTCTATTAAATAGCCATGTTTTGCAACACAAATCTTGATATAATTTTCGAAATATAAATACATAGTCAATAATGCAATAAGTAAGTACCTTTAATTTATTGCATTTTCTTGGAAAAGACGATCATAAAAGCCAAACGAGGACCAGCAAAATATTAAAATTGTATATTATAAAATTAAACGTTAGTTTTCTTATTTTTAATAAGAATTTTATTTTACTAACTGGTTTTTAATTTATTTTTGGCCAGATATAGAATACAGTTTACGTCAATTTGTGAGGAGCGTTTTACGCTTGGCCAATGCTGTAATAACTCTCCTTTTTTAAAAAAATTTCGTTTTACCAAGTAAATTGAGAGAATAAGAAACAAACATCGAAGAGAGATATTTGATGAACTCGCAGCATTTGCTGCAACCATTTACGACCGCGGCCAATTATTTACCCTCCGGAGACCGTTTACCCTCCTCTGGAATGGATGCCTCGGATGGTTCTTTCGATCCCGCAACGCTCGAAAAGAAGAAACCTCTTCTTCGGAAAAAGGGCACGAAAATGCATTTGGACGCGTAGACGTGTATTCATTTACGTACATACATCAGGTGCGACGTACTAAATCTCGTTCTAAAAGTTACTGCGTAAAAACCGCGTGAAGGATGCGCGTACTTTATTCAAACAAGAAAATGTGTCGGGTTTGCTCGCTTAACATGTAACAACGTGATTTCGTAAATAAGAGAATCGTTCGATTTTGCCCTCGATGATGAGATAAAATCCAAATTAAAGGGAGCACAGAGAGAAACGCATGGAGAAATACGCGCGGAGATCAATAAATTTTTAAGTGAATATTCCATGGGAGATGTATCAAAATGATTTTCGCGTGCGCGTTCACCAAATATAGATGCATGTATATGCGAGACACTTATTTCCGTTCCGCGGAGTCGCCTTAAAAATTCCCGAGCGGTTGTCGCGGTAAAACTCGATTTCCCGAACGGAATGAAATGCTTGTATACACGTAGATCCTCTGTGTATAAATAAAATGCGGATCCTGAATTTCCCGCATGTGCCCGACGGTTTTGCCAATTTCGGCGGGCGGGCGGGAGGAAAGCGGGGACGGAGAGGAGCATGCGAGGGGTTAACGCCGTCGCGTGCACCGCGCGAAGAAATGGAAACGAAAATCCTCCGGTCGCGCGGCCAATGGGATCCGACGGAAGGGTTGAAATTGCGAGGCTCGATTTATCAGGGGCAATGGGTGCAGCGGGAGCGACTTAGCTTCGCCAGCCGCGCCATTATCGGCACCGTAAATCGCATCACGTGTGCGCGAGGGCGCGCTTACAAGTCCGATCCAAATCAAGATGCTGCTGTACACTCGGCATAAAGTGGATCTAGACAGCGCGCGCATGCGATTAATTTCCTACACGGAGGACGGGGGTAGCCGTCCCTTTGAAACGAGGGGGCAATATTGCACGCGGTCGGCATAATCCCCGCGCGTCGATTTTATAATCCTGCAAATATAACGAGCACAGGACTTAATCCTACGATTACGAACAACTTCGATCCGGCAACGGTAAATCTTCGTTCGGATCCTCCCCGCCCCGCGGCGAAAACGCCGCGCGAGCGCATTCGGAAGGAAGACGTCGTCGTCGTCGCTTCGCGCCGCGTCTCTCGCGAGAAAGTATGAGACGAAACCGCGAAGTTTTTCCAGCCGCCGAGCCGCTCGCTGCTGGCACTAATCGATTTATAGCGAATGGGCGGAAACTGTTCCGCGACGCGATAACGATGATTTACTATTGTAAGGTCCTCGTAAGAGAGTGCCATCGTCGGCGGAGGACATAAATAAAAGTCCGCCTGCCGCGTGATATCGCGGGCACACAAAAGCCGCCGCCGCCGTCGCCGCCGTTGCTGCTGCCGAGCCATTTCGACTGCATTCGTAAATTAACGTCGAACAACTCCCGAGATGACGCGGGTGTGGCTTACTTCCAATCAAGGAAATGCCGTGTAAAAGCACGAGCCGCTCATCGTACCGTAAAAAGAAAAGAAAAAAACAATGACGAACACCGATTCGAATTAAATTAAATTAATCGAAGGGATCAGATATTTCTGCCATGGGAAACTCTCGTTCGTGCGAATTGGCTCGCCGTGTTATATCTACTGATTAGTAGAATCGCTCGGACGGATTCGGGAACGTCCTCTCTATTTGCACACTACGACGATCGTGTTACGTATTGACAAGCCATACGAAACGTTTTCAGCAAACACTCGACGCCTCGGTATCATATTGCGTATTTCTGGGTAACACCGCAACGGTGAAGCACCATCGAAAACGTTACTTGGGGCGGGGAATGGGGAGGGGTTCGCGTTATAGCTGCAGAGATGCAACGGGAATAAAAATGACAACGAAGGGGAGGAAAATTGATATCGAGGAGAGAGAGACCAGAATGTGCCACCGGTATTCGCGATATCGCGCGAATACCGGTTGGCACGTCCTATTTCGTTCGCAATTGTTTGACTCTTCGAGCGCGAACGCGGCGGCGTATACACGGGCCCGGTTTGAGAAACGCGGATAAGAAATGTCTCGGCAGATACGGGACGGAGGGAGGGAGACTCGATTCTTACCTCTCTCTGCATCTGGTCGATGGCCGCGGTCTCCCGGGATCGCACAGAATAGTTCTCGAGGAAGGTGCGGTTCAGATTCATCTTCAATTCGGGGCCAACCTGCTCCTCGTAGAGGCGCGCCAACGCGCCGACCCCGGCCTCCAGGACGAGCACCGCCATCACCACGAAGACGTACTGTGTCGGACAGAAGAAAGACGAGAACGAGAGAGATTAGAGATGGGGTCCGGTTAAAACAACATACCGGGACAGCCGTCTTCCCGCAATTACTACGCGGCTACAACTCCGGCGTTTAACGTCTTTATCATGGCTAATGAAAGGAATGACGAATGAGAGTGAGCGTGCGCGCGCGCAACGAACGCCTCTCTCCGTCTAACTGAATGGAAATTCCGATAAAAGCTGTCGAATAAATTCTATCGGTCGAAAAAAGCAAAAGAAAAAAAGAAAGAAGGAAGGTAGAACGGCTTTTAATGATGAAAGAAAAAAAAAGAACCCGGCTTATCTCTCCGAGTGAATGCGCGCTCTCGCTTTATGTCCAAAAATAATTCTTCGAAATGACGTAGTGCGAGAGGAAAACGATTTCTAACGTGCGCACTCCTTACAAACGCGATAAAGCCCGAGATTGAATCTGTCAGCTCTACCGTCATATTTTCACAGAGGAGCTTCACCGCGTTACATAACGGTATTTATTTTTCGCGTTGTTGTTCTCTCCCCATAGCTTTTTCACGCCAAATCATCGATTCGCCCGATTTCCGAAATACCGAATACCTCTGATACAAACGCGGCTCCCCTATCAAAAAATGTACGTTCCGCGAAAAAATGGCATATTCGGCGTATATATGTATAAAATTTAAAACACAAAAATAAAATACTAATGCAGAGAGAGAGAGAAAGAGAGTGCAGATTCCAAAACGAGCGAGGTTTAATACTGTGCTTTCGCGTAATTTGTAATACGGATTTACGGAGCAAAGCCGCCGTAGTGCATGGAGATTCGCCTCGCTCTTTCGGAGTCACCGTCCTCTCTCTCTCTCTCTCTCTCTCCTTCTATCTCTCTTGTAGAAGCTAGGGCGACGTATTAAAATTGCGTAATGTCCACCGAAGCTTTTCAGACTTTTCATGAATATAAACCCTCGTCGAGGGACGGAGCGCGCACACGGCGCGGCGCGGCGCGACGCGGCGCGGGCGTCCCTCGGCAATCCCCCTTACCTATGAATATTCAAGTCGCGGTGACTAACTATCGCTCGTTCGTACTTTCGCAAGATTTTGCGGACCCATGCGGAGAGAAGCTAGCGTGTACACCAAGGAAACATAGGAGAGAGGCAACTTTTTCTTATTTAATAATTCTACTGTTATTAATTCCGTTCCGTTCCGTTCCGGGGTGGTTTGTGCATTGCGGCGTCGCGCTTAGCTTCTAACGGAAACTTAGTCGAATCGCGAGAGACAGAGAGAGAGAGAGAGAGAGAGAGAGAGAGAGAGAGAGAGAGAGCGCAGAGTGTGCATTAGATGGATGAAATATTGGCTGATACATGCGGAGAGGAGGAAGTGCATGTGGCGAGGAGAGCGGAGGGAGCCGCATTGGCAGCTAATTTGTGATCGATTTTCGGCTACGCTCGGGAATTAAGCTGTATCGCGCAAGTAAACGATGCTCTCGCGTAGACGCGTTTAGTATTCCTGATCTAATGCACGTAGTGAGGAAAATGCTAAATGCTGTCGCAGAAAGATTGATGGAAGCTTGCTGAGAAATTTATGATTTAAACCTTTTAAGAGAATGTATTCATATTGACAAATCTTTTAAGACATGCCCCGGTTGTATAATTTTTCGTAAAATATTTCACAATCCATACAATTAAATCGATAGTCGAAATATTCGGTATATCTGAAGCAATTTTAAACTTATATTAAAAAAACAAATAATGCAAATAATCCACATGGTGACAAAAGTAATAAATGATATCGCAGAAATTAAAAGATTAATGGGAGCTACACGATGGAATTCACGATTTAAACCTTTTAAGAAGATGTATCCATATTGACGAATCTTTTACTGTTACAGCCTCGGTTGTATCGTATTTCTTAAAATATTTCACATTTTGTACGTTGTAAAGAAATTGTTTTAAAGCAATTCTAAATCCATAAAAAAAAAACATATAATGCACATAGTGACAAAAATAGCGAATTATGTGGCAGTAGCTGGAAGATTGATGGGAGCTGAGAAATTCATGATTTAAACCTTTTAAGAGGATGTATTCATATTGACGAATATATCTTTTAAGACGAATCTTTTATATGCCTCGGTTGTATCGTGAAATATTTCAATCTATATATTGAAAAATTGTTCTAAAACAATTCTAAACTCATATAAAAAAGACAACTAATTTACGCGTTACGAAATTTTCCTGAAAAAGTTATGGAACGTAAAATAAAATAAATTGAAGATAAACTCTTCAATTGTAACCAAGACTAGACCAGCGTATATACCACGAGTATTGGAAAATCGTGCTTACCTCGACCTTAAAGCTGATTAACAACGTGCTCTTTCAGTTTCCTTTCAATTAAATCGGAGGGGGGGGGGAGGGCAGGGGAAGCGTTCAAGTCAAACGCATACGCGAGAAATTAGAGCGGCCGAGATAGTCGGTAAGACGGCGATGATCGATCGGTCTTCCGCGTAAAACGCACGCGGAGCCGAGATGCGAATATAAGTAAAGACGTCGACGGAGTTTGCCGACATGCGACGCAATAACGCATGATAATTCGTGATATCAGATTGCTCGCGACGAGTAAGGCGGGCGAACGCGAGACGAGCGTTCCGCGCCGACTTTCATCCTTGTAGTCGTTAGTCAGTATCCGTTTCAGTCATTAAGTCGGAGCGCACACACATACACACAAGAGGAGGGAGGGAGGGAAGGGGAGGGGGGAGAACGAGAGGCAGAGATGAGCATTGCACGGATCGCGCAAAGCTTCCGCTTCCTTCGCGTCAGCCTGTTACTCGGAACTCGGAAAGTGCGTCGGGAGGCAACATCGAGAGGCTGCGACGCGTTTGCCGTAGGTCTCGGTACCTAACATGTACCTAAGTACATATTAGTACCTAAGTCAATAAATCGCCCGGGATGTATATATACGTTATGGCGGAAACGGCGCGGAGAGGGCAGGAATGGCAATCGACAGTTTGCGATTGGTGTGGAGGCTGACAGTGAAGGGGAGAGACGATAGATCAAACGCACCAATTGCTTTTCTACTATATGTAATAGCTTCATATATATATATATATATATATATATATATGTATGTATATATGTATATATATAATAAAATAAACACACACGCATGCACACACATACATCTACATGATTTTGACCGGGAGACGGGTTGAACGCGCTACGTTCTCGAATAATAGTTAGAGACCGACGCTTTTGTCGGAGGCTAACGGGGGCACCGCCGGAGAAAACGTGTAACCTCGACTATCAAGTAAAGTTTGTTGAAACACGAATCGAAACTCGAAGCGCAAGCCTGGACACAACAATCCATGGGAAAAAGAGAAGTGGCCAACGTGTAAAGCGCGTATGGCAGAGCATATGATCTAAAGTGTGTGTGAGTGTGCATAAAGTGTGGAATTTCATTAAATATACGCGCTCTAAGTAATATTATATTTAATGCTTAACATCATGAAAATTCTACGAACCAGTATTATGCAACTATAATACAGTAGATGAGTCTATTTAAAAAACTTCATAATGAAAAAGCGTAATGTAGATGGAAAAAAGTGAAAACAAAAAAAAATAATTTTTACGTTACTTTGTAAAATATAAATCTTTCCTAAATCGCAGCCAGGAAATATTAGCTTCCTCTTTCCTTAGTACATAATGCTCGCAGTATTTTAGAATCGCAGCGAATGCTGAAACTTGCAATAAATTTAGTTAATGTTTTTAATCTTCCGAGCATGAATAGCGCATCCTATTGTGTCCGTCGTTATATGCATAGCGCAGTAAGATAAACTTCGTCTTGAGATTACCGTCGCGAGACATTGAGAATGGAGTTTAAGCCGATCATGGCTCGTGGACTTAACGCGAGTCTGTGGATGGGAACAAGAGCAAGTGCCGGATCGCGAGTCATATGGAGAGGACAGACCACGAATGCACGGATGAATATTATATTTGACGAGATGCCAATTACAACTACTGACCTAGTGGAAATCTCCACATAAAACAACTCACTGTCGCTCCTAATAATGCCTCAATTAATTACACGTGTTCGTTAACAAAATTTAGTCGTTTATTAAATTTATTAGAAAGAAATTACCAAGCTTTCCAATTTTATTAAATAGGAAAGTCGTTGCTGCATTTTTATACTTTATATTAAAATAAAATACATATATAATAAGTATAAAATAAAATATGTATATCAAAATAAAATCTCCAGAAGCGCGGCAAAATGTTTAGCATAAAATATATAATTTAAAAGCCAGGTGTTAAACAAAAAATTCTATACATTCATGGAAAATTATATCTGAATACTTTCGCGCGATGAATTTCTAGATCAGAATCCCGAGAAACGCATCGGCCGAACAAATAAACAAAATCGGTCGATCGCAAAAAAATAGGCTGGACAGGCCATGCATTATGTACCTAACTTTCTCCGTGTATGCGCCCATAAAGGCCTCTCCTCCCCGCCGCGCCTCCTCTCGAGTCGCCAACTCGTGTTCATTATGTGGATTTACCTACCCAACACCGGTAAAAATCTTAATTGAACGCCATATAAGGTCTCGACTAATGAGACGGTTCGCTCGTGCCATCCGTGTATAGACGGTGAAAGGGAGCAGGACCAATGGGAAAGCCATGGCAAAAGGTTGCCGAGGCAAGAAGGGGGGCGGTCTTCTTGCCTCGAGGATCGCCGATAGTTTATCGCTGCTACGGTGGCTGTTAAGCTCGTTACTTCGCCGTTATTGGGAAACAAGCGTTTCCGTATAACAAAAATGAACGATGATAGTATTTAATAATCGGTATACAGCGCACGCATAGAAAGCCCCATCCGGTATACAATAAATAGTAAAAACATATAATACAAATTTTAAAAAGAGAAACGGTAATGACACGGTAGATAGCAAATTGACGTTTTGCGTAAAGGTAAGAGGGATCGAGCATTGGATTAGATGTATCGGAGTAAGATCGTCGAGGTAAAAG